AGCATTCTGTGGTCTCTGGGAGCGTGTAGCAAATACTGCCCCTTGCTCCAAACAGCCTCTTTTCGAGGGCAGAGCCGTGGAGCGGCTGACCCGGGGATCCAGCAGTTCCAGATGGAGGAAGGATGACGTGGCACTGCCCGACTGTGATTCCATCCCTTGGAGCAGGGCTGGGTGTTGAGAGCAGCTAGGAGTGGAGGGTGGGAGAGTTCAGGGAGGGAGAAAAGACATTAGAGGAGGGGGCTGCGCTTCCCTGCCTTTCTCCTTCAAATCCAGTGGCCAGGGCTAACAGTGAGCTGATGGATCCCTGTGTGCATCCTCCCTGGGATCCTAAAATGAAGGCTGAAAGTTCCTGGGGAGGTTGTTTACCTTTGAGCCAAAGGGCTTGTTTTCCCTTTGTTGCTGTGGCCAGGGGAAGAGCCATGTGGGTTCTCCAGATGATGCTGTAGTTTGTGTTCTGTAAGGCTAATACCAGAAATGTGAATGGCTGAGCTTTGGCTGGAGGTGCAGGAATAGACTGATGGGTGGGGAGAGCTGGGTTCATAGGGATAACCCCTCTCCCAGATAGACGCAATGAGAAAGAGGAGCTATTATCAGCCCTCAGGAGGTATTTCCTTGAGGTTATATTTGGTTCCAGTGAAACTTCTATCCCTTTCTGCTTAATTAAAGCTGTTTTCTCTAAAGAGGGCTCTGAAGAGGCTCCCATCTGAGTGCTGAAAACCAGAAGGAGCCGTTTTTGTGGTAACTGGAGCCTGAGAGGGGAAATAGCAGCAGCCTCACAGCAAAGCTGCCCTGTCCGTTCCTGCAGCCCCTCTGTGCAGGATGGGGAAGCAAACATCCGGGTTGGGTTCACCCAAACCACCAAGTATTTGTAGCTGACTCATGACTGCATGTGAATCAAGCTTTTTTGGAGCCAGACCTTCAGCTATTGCCTTCACATCCATTTTTTAGTGCAGGCTTTTTGGAAGCCCAAAGGATGCCCTTTAGGTACCTGTTGCTCTCTGGTGAGCACGCTGCTGTCAGGTCTGGCCAGTGAGAGGGGTTCAGAAGGCAGGGGCTGGTGGGGGTGACAAGGCTTCATCTGACCCTGTTGCTGCCATTGGCTGCTTTTCTGGAGCAGCTGTGTTTAAACGAGGGGCTCTGGGATGATGCCAGGAGGATGAGGATGCCCCAGTGCTCTGAGTGGTTCCTGTACATCTCACTTGGGGCTCACTGCAGTGGCAGAGCTGGGGCACGGGGAGCTCTGGGTCACCCCTTGCTTCTTTCCTTCAATGAAGACTTTGGGGTGACGCAGCTCTTAGTGCAACCTGTGCAGCCAAGGAGCCTCCTGGTGTGGGGCAGAGCCGCTGTGTGCAGGGCAAGCGCTGGTGACAGCCTTTATCAAGTGGAACATCCGGGGCTGCCAGGCTGTCTCCCAGACAGGGATTAGGTGTTTTGGATGCTTGCGGTGGCTGGGATCCCTAAGCTTCCATTTTATCATATTGCTGCATTGAACCTCTGCCACTCTGAAGCCATCCAGCTGGGTTTGCATTTATGGAACCAATGAGTTTCTCATAATAAAACCCAGCAACATCCCAATTGCTTCCAATAATTTGGATAGTTTTTTGGTGTGTTACAGCTGGACACCCTGGCCCTGTGGCTCCAATTTAAATGCAGGAGCTTAAAACAACACACCAAGCAGGATTTATGCTTATGGATGTTCAGAAGCTCCAAGACTTCAGGGGTGAGGCACTGAAACAACAGCCCAATTAGTTGTCAGTGCGGTGCAGTGGGAGCCCTGAAGCATCCCAGTACTGGCGGAGCTGCCGCTGGTGCCAGATGAAGTCACTGGGATTGGCCTTGCCAGCTGTTTGTTTTGGTGAACCACAGTAATCTGCCCACGTTACTGCAGTTGATGTCATTGGAAGTGATGTGACATTGCTGCACACATATAGAATAAGTGTTAAAAAATGCTCCTGAAGAGCTTTTCCAGCCTTGTCTGGGAGCTGGCTGGGGCCTTGAATTCAACTGCCTTGGTGGGACTTAATCTGTAAAGCAAACGAATCATCAGGCATAAATGGCTTTACCATAAATGTCAGATTCTCACTGGTCCTAACAGCGCTTACATGGGGTTGGTGGAGCATATAAAAGCCTTGGGCTTCACAGTCACTTTCATAAATGTGCTGTCCTGCCTCCTCCTTTTCATGGGAAGCTCTAAGAATAAAGGTCAATATAGGATTTATTCCTTCTCTAAAAACCTAGTTATTCTGATGGATGAAATTGGCTATTTCCAGGCACAGACTGACCTTCTGTATGTGTATAACTGTGCCTTGCCTCTGTGTGCTAAGTACCTCTGGTACTGGAGCACTTCATGGAGCCCTCTGTGCTCAGATATACCCAACTCGTTCCTATGCCAAAGGAGGACTTCACCCACCTGCATGGGTGCCTGGATGCTGAGCTGGTGCCATCTCCTTTGAAGCAGCACCAGTGTGTTACTGACTTGCTCCCTGACTTAGATACCTCTTTACTTGAAAACGAGTCTCAAACCCCGAAATGTCTTGGCTGGTGAAGTCTCCAAACCACTTCCTCCCTGTAACTGGAAGTTCTCTCCCTTACAAAGGCTTCATGGAAAAGCGGTTGCTGTTGCATGTGTATGCAAGGGGGGTAGTGAATGGTATCTCCGTTATCACTGCTCCTGCTGAGAAAAGCAGATGCTGCCGTAGGAAGGAGAGGGCTTGGGGTGTCCTGTGTAAGCACAACAGTGCAACAAACAGAGCCTTGAGTGAGGAAGGGTGCGGGGCCGGGGGCAGCTATCTCCTGGTGACATTTATTAGCAGCAGCACACTTGAGAGGACACAAAAGGCTCCCAGCATGGCCCGCTCTATTTAAAGTAGCTTTTTAAATCAAAGCAATGGGGCTCTTGACAGCAGAGCTTTGTGCATCCTTTGTGGGGTTTGGAGAGTGGGGCTTTTTATTGCCAGCTAAATTAGCCCATTTTATTGTTTTGCAGTGAGGGATGAGGTCAGTTGAGTGGGAATCTTGCTAACAAGGTTTTACTCCTGTTTTTTACACTGGGTATCCACCAGTGCTGTGCACTTGCTGGTAATGAAACAAAGATGAATGGTTTAGCACTCTGTGAGCTCTCCTCCTTCCCCCACCATTGAGCTGCTCAGCCCCTGTCTGTACCAGAGCTCAGATGCTCCCCGGGGCTCTTATCCCTGCAAAGCTGGGTCCACTGGTTTTCCTTCTGACCTTGCATGCTTGAATGCTGCTGCTGGAACAAGGAAAGGATGGACTTTGCTGGGCAGAGTGATTGATTGGGTTTGAAAAGGAAATGGGAAAATAGTAGGCATGTTGAATGATGCTCACGGAGCGTGGTGAGCTCTGAAGGAGCTGTCTGAGGCAGCTCACGCTCTTTCCTGGCACCCCTCACATACCAAATCTATTCAATTACGCATTGATTTTCTCAGGTTCTTGACCCAGAACTAGCAGGAAGTTTCCCTTGTGCATTCTCTCCCCTTCCTCAGCAGCAGCTGCTGGACCAACGCTGTCCTTTGGTGTGTTGAGGGAGGTTGGGGTTTGTGCCATGGCCCCAAGACATGAGCTTTGGGATGTGCAGGGAATGTCCTCCCGTGTGCTCCAAGGTGCTGCCAATGCCTTGAGCCGTCAAACCCAGAGGATGCTCAGCTCCTGGTGTGCTGCAGGGAAGCAGGGTGCCACTGAGCCAGGATCTCTCCCCATGCATAGCTCAGGAGCTGCCATCAGCTGAGACTAAAAGCAAACTCAGCTTTAGCAAATTCTCTTCTGCTTAACCTTTTGCACTGCGTTTAGCCAACGTGCCTTTCTTTGCTTTATCTGTTCCTTGAGGAAACACAGTTATAGTCCTGGTCACTTATAGGATGCAGACTATCAGCTCTCCTTGAGGTGTAAATCCAGCCTTATCAGGAAGAAAAAGCTTTCAGCCTTCCTTCCTTGCCTCTCACAGACAAGTACCAAGTCTGCTTTTGTGGCTGTTTTATTTCAGCTTATCCCAGCAGTGCCAGACATTCCCCATAATCCGATGGAAACTGGGGAGCTTTAACCACCTAAGTGACAAGGGCATTAATGGCTTAACGTGGCTGTCAATGAGGGGCAGGGTGGTTGAAGTCCTGTGAGCAGAAATAGCAGCTGGAAGGATCTTCCCATCAATCAACTTTAAGCCAGTTGCCTTGGCCAGGTTGGGCATCCTCCAGTGGAGGCAGCTCCAAAGGGGCAGCCTGGTGTGATGCTCCGAATGCCTGTGAAAGCAGGGATGAGGATAGTGATGGATGGTGTTAGAAACCCAGTAACACCCTCAGCTCCTTCAGGTCTCTGCTCAGGGCTGGGTGATGTCCTCAGGGTCACACCACGGACATAGGTCACGGTGTCAGGCAGTGGCCAGAGCTGGCTGGGAATGGGCAATGTCCTGAGACAAAAGCTTGGTGTTCTGTGTGTTCTAATGCTGCATCCCCAGTTCTGGTGGTTACACTGAAAAAGCACAAGCCAGAACAGTGACAGAACTGCTCTGTGGGTTTGTTAAAAAGAAAAAAGCAAAGAAAAGAATATTTTTCTCTTAAATTAGGAAGCTGAAAACCACTTTGCAGACATTTCTGCTAATTTTGTAAAGGTTACTCACAGGAAACGGTGACTAATGAGATTAAACCAATGCTGGATTTTAAGGTAACTTGTGTAGCATCTGAAAGGTGCCCAGATGTTGTGCTGGTTGCTGCAGTAACCTGGAAATGAACGTGGTTATCTTTTGGGAAGGTGCATTTGGGACCGGGCAGGAAGCACGGTGGCTTCACACCTCACAGAGATAAGCGGCTGCTTGACCCTGCACTGGGCACGGGGGGGTTTCGCTTGGCTCGTCTCAGGTGATGTGTCTGGGTCAGGGAGGAGGCACTCCAAGCATCTTGCTTTTCCTGTCGTGTGGTGTTCATCCCCTCACCTGCGGTCTCATGCTCCATCCCTCCGTCCCCATAACGCTCTTGTTTCCTCCCCTGCAGGGTGACATCCAGCAGCTCCTGATCGTGTCAGACCCGCGAGCAGCCCATGATTACTGCGAGCACTACAGCCCCGACTGCGACACCGCCATCCCCGACTCCCCCCAGTCCCAGGACCCCAACCAGGATGAATACGTAAGGCTCCTGTGGGGTTTGGGGGATGCATCAGGGCAGCAGCATCCAGCTCCATAGCGTGGCTGCAAACACTCTGCTCCTTCCTCCCTCTGTGCTTCCCTGCAGCTGCTCTCCTAGGGCTGAGACAGAGCTGGTTTTAGGGTGTGCAGGTTCTGCTCTTGGTCCTTGCCCTCAGGAGTTTCCTTTCTGGGATCCTCCCAGTTCCAGAGATGGAAATGAATGTTCACTTGGAGCTCAGAGCCATGCAGGAGAGACAACCTGAGCTGAGTGTGAAACACCGACCCTCCCTGGCAGGTGAATCCTGCCCAAAGCAGGTGCCTGCTTCTAGGTTCCAGCTTTAACTGTTGAGCTTGTAAAAAGATTTAGCAGTTCTTTTCCATATTCCCTTAGAACAGGTGCTAAAGGAGGGGAAATGCTTCTGCCCGTGCGTTTGACACTTGAATTTCGTGTGGCTCCGGCTCATCTGTGTAAGCTGCTGTGCTCGGTGTTTTTTCTGCAAAGAGTTAACCCCAGATCTTTCCTTTAAATAAAGGAAGGAAAGACTGGTACAAAATGCCCTCTTATTTCTGCTGCTCCATTAGAAATGCCTGAGTGTGGCTGATTTCCAGAAGAGCATCACCTGAATTTTACACCCTCTTAAGAGGTCTCAGGCTCAGCTCACAGCAGTTGGAGGGTCTGCCATCCTCAGCTGCTTCACAGCGTCTTGGCTGCTCTCTTGGTCCCCCATGCACTCTCTTGCTTTCAGCTGGTCTCAGATCTGTGGACTCCTGCCAAATCCCCACAAATCCTGGAATGGTTTGGGTTAAGGGGCCTTAAAGCTCATCCAGTTCCAACCCCTGCCACAGGCAGGGACCCCTTCCACTGGAGCAGCTTGCTCCAAGCCCCTGTGTCCAACCTGGCCTTGAGCACTGCCAGGGATGGGGCAGCCACAGCTTCTCTGGGCACCCTGTGCCAGCGCCTCAGCACCCTCACAGGGAAGAGCTTCTGCCTGAGATCTTGTCTCCCCTCCAGGAAGCTGTAATGCCAGCAGCCTGCTCTGCCTTAGCTTTGGGACTGAATGGAAACCCTCCAGCTGAGCAGGGATCTGGGCAGGAGGGTGATGCTCGCAGGGTGCCCAGCCCCAGGGAAGTGCTGTAACCTCTTTGCCAGCTCTGCTGGAGAAACAATAAATAAGTAAAATGAAACAGACCTGGGCATAGTCAAGATATGTGCTAGTAGGAAAATAAAACTTCTCTTGGAGCCAGCAGCTCAACAAGGGCTGGCTTGTTCTAGGGCTGCACTGCTCCATGTAAGAATAACTCCTCCACGCGCCGGCGTCTGCTGCCAGTGAGAGCAGAGCGATGGACTGGCAAAGAGATTTGCCATGCCTGGCTGTAACCAAGGTTCTGTTTGTGTTTCATATTGAAGAATGACTGACGCCTTGTGGAAACCACTGAGAATATCCTGCTTTTGGAGCCCTGCGGGTGCAGGGGAAGTCACATGGATACTGTTAGTGCTTAGAGTGAAAGTAGTATCCCAGCTTTGTAGGGCAGCTGCACAGTTCAAGTGTGTTCTTCCCACCTCTCTCCATATGTCACACGTGTGACCTCAGGGTCCCAGCAGTCCAAGGCTAAAGCCAGTTAATGTTTCTGTATTGTGTTATCATGGGTGACTGAGCTGCGTCAGGTTTGGGCTGTCACCGATGGTCAGAGGACAGAGGGATGATTTAGAACCTCCTCACATCACAAATAGCAGCCTAAAGCTTTGGTGAAAGGTTTCATAGAAGCTGATGAACAAGAGGAAGAGAAAGATTTCAGTGCATGGCTCTGCATCGCAGCGTGGCCCTGTTGATAGGAAAAATGCCTAAAAGGGCTGGCAGGAATGCTTTTGGGTGCTGCCAGCTTATTTTCTGCTTCTTACCTTCTCTTTGCAGTACACTGACGCGGAGGGCGAAGGTGACACCTACTACTATGAGTACCCCTACTATGAGGATGTTGATGAATCTGTAAAGCCAGAAGCTCCCACCGCCAAACCCAGCGCTCCTGAAGTGCCTGCTGGAGAGAGACCCGAAACCAAGCAGGTACCAATTCAGTGGCAGAGATGGGGTTCACAAATGGCACCTTTGTAGAAGGGGAGGTGGAGGATGGTGCAGAAGGCTTGCTTTTGTTTCTGATTCTGATGTTCTATTCCTGTGATAGGACTATCCTGCTCCCACAGCATCTCCGGATGGAGGGGACCCTAACAGGCAGACCAAAGAGGATACCACAGTGGGTGATCCCCTCGTGGATGAGTACAACTATGAGACCATTAACGAGGAGTACTTCACACCTCTGCCCTACGAGGATGTCAACTACAATGAAGAAGTAGACCCGCAGGGGGGACTGACTGAGAACGCTGTGGAAGCTGAGCTCCCCACAAGCACCGTCATCACCTACAACGAGAGCGATGTAATTCACTGAATGCTTTTACCTTTCCTCTGTGGTTTTGATGAATCGCGGTGTCTCGGAGAGCCGCGGGGATGTGCTCACCCAGGTGGTAAATCTGGCAGTGCTTTGGGCAGCTCTTGGAAGAGGAAGTCTCTTGTAAAATGTTTTCGCTCCAGATATTTCAGGGTGTGGAACGCAGGTATTGAGGGTTTAGTGAAGGATTATTCCCCTGGAAAAATGTGCTCATGCTGACATCTGCATTTCCCTTCGTGAAGTGCTCGTGTGACAAGAAGAAAAATGAGGGTTGCTGTTAAAATCTAAGTAGAATCGTTTTATTTCAAAGCTATTAATACAAATCCTTAAAATGTTGATTTGATGGAAAGCATCAGTGTTTTTCATCTTGTCATTCCCACCGAACATCTTCAGGGGTTTAGATTGTAATGCTCAAAAAACCCGTTTCAACACTGGGAGCAGCCCTTCATTTCAAACTCCTGCATCCAGCAGAGTGAGGACCTCTGCTTTGTGCCACATCTGCTCAAGGGGGAGAGCAGTCCAGGCCCCATGGCTGGCATGCATCAAGCAGATGAATGTGGGGCTCATCTTTAGATGAGACTTAGACAAACTGCCCTGCAGCCACTATGTAAGGAAATAATGCTAGATGAGGCCGATTTTGCTATCCAGGAGCAGCAGCAAGGGGAGCTGACAGCAGGATAATGTTTCCTGGGAGGGAGGATTGGGCTTGGCAGAGTTTTGTGGTGGTTATGGGGGGACTCGGCACCCTGGGGCTGGTGATGCAGAGGGGTCGTGTCCAGCCAGGCAGTGTAGAAACTGTGGTGGAGGAGGAGGCTGAGCCACCCAAAACGATCTACAGAGAGGAACAGAAAAGGCTGCAGTGTATCAAGGAAGTGAGCGCCAACCTGAGGGAACCCATGGATAGGAAATGTTGCTGTTTCCTGACAAAGAGCCAGAAATCTTTGGCTAAGCTTGAGCTTTCTAACAGGGAGGAATTAAAGATTGGATAGCGTGACCTTAGGAAAAAAATGGAAGAGGAAATAAGAGGCTCGAGGGCTGCTTTGGTTGTTAGGAAAAGGAAGTAAGAGGAGGAAAGTTCAGGTAGGGAAACACACGGTGAAGCCTTCCTGTGTGAAAGCTCAACCCTCTCTCAGCAAAGCATCTCATAGAGACAAAGTGCAGCTCTTCCCCTCCAGCAGCTCCAAAGGAGGGGGCATTTGGACAGGGAAGGATGCAGCATGGCTCCCAGGATCTCTTAGCTGAGGAGCAGAGCAGAAGACACAGCTTGCCTGGCTGCAGGAGATTCCCATGCACTGAGGCAAAGGCTAATGCAGTGTGACATAGGGAAGAGTCCCCAGAAGTGCCTGCCTGAGGGCCAAGCACCCAGGAGGGTATGGATTGCAGGTTAAAACCTCAGACTGCAGCTCCTGGGGAAACCAAATCCTCTAATCCAGGCTGCTTTATGAGCAGTATAGAAGTGGGGATCAGGATCTCCTGCATGGAATTGCCTGCCTAACGCCTGTTCTTAAGAGCAGGCTTTCAGCGGGAGCTGCTGGGGGGCTGGAGAAGGTTGGTTGCTCTTTAGAGAAGGAGACAAAAATCCATTGAAAATCTCATAGGTGTTTTGGCTGGTTCAGGAAGCAGAGTGCTCGTGGCCATGGGTTTGTGCACTGGGATGTCACCTCCCAGGCTCCTGCCCACAGAGCCCAGCACTGTTGGCACTCACCTGGCTGCAGCTTGGGAAGACGTTAATTCCTACGATGGGAATGAAAAGGGGAGTCAGTTTTGGACAAGTGAAACCAGTGCGAGAGGTTTGAGAGGCAGGAGCAGGCGCTGAGCTCTCCTGGGCTGCGGGTTCATCCTGGCTCATAACTCCTGATAAATGCCGGGGAAGCAATTCCGAGATGTAGTAGGCAATGATACTCCTGAGAGCAAGAGGAGCTGGGAGCAGATAGATTCTGCTCATTGCCTGCTATTCATCAGGCAGTTTGCTTTGCTTGTCCAGATGCATATAGCAGGGCTTCATATCTGCATTGCTTCTCTAAAGGGAGGACTAAAAGGAGATTTAAATGAAGCTGTTACCAGCAAAGCAGAGGCACAGTGTTCTGCACACTGATTTCTGGGCCTCCTGTTTCCTTTGCAGACTGTAGTTGTCCAACAGCATTGTTCAGGAGATGATTTTTTGGGCTTTTATTTTGGTTTTCCTCCCAAGCACCTGCAGCTGTCAGCAGGGAGAACTTTGCTCCTCCTCTGCCCACTTATTCAAGCAAATCTTCCCATGCAAATGGATTTTGGGACCTTAATCAAAATATCATCCCAGACATTTTTGATGTTCATTTAAAGCAGTGCAATCTGGAACAAGCTTGCTATGTTAAATCCAGAATCTTTGTAGCGAGATAAACAGGTTTTAAGGTTTCAAAGTGCAAACCCAGATAAAAGATTGCAAACAGGATAAAAGAGAGAGTGATAGCACCCAATCCATTTGAACAGCACAGAGGAAAAGTGATGCTAACTTTTCCGAGCCTTCTGATTGAGTAATTGCCAAGCTATAATTCCTGCAAAGACTGGTTGGTGCTTGCAAAGCTAAAAGAAGATGGGGTATCAGAGCTGTGGCTGCCTTAGCACTAGGCTTATTCTTACTGAAAACCTCTTGAATTTGGATGCAGATGCTTGTGCTCAGTGGTTCTGAGCAGTTTTGGCACCGAAACAAGGTCTGGAAATGATGGTGGCATTTAAGTGATTTTGAATTCATAATAGGGAGGAGATTTCTCTGGGAAGCACTGGAAATAATTCAATTTATGGATCATTTTGGTCATTACCTGGATGGGAAAGAAACAAGAAAACCCATCAGCAGCAGCACATGTTCTTCACAGTGCTGCTCAAAGCAAATGATGCCAAGAGGCAGCTGCCTGCCAGGCTGCAGAAAGCACAGAGGGATGGAGAGGAGCAAGGAAATTCTGATGCTTGTCTGGATGTCCTTGCCCAGCATCTGCTGCTGGAAGGATTCGGGGATTAATGCATCAGATTTGTGAAAAACCTCTGCTTCTACTTTCTGCACAATTCCAGTCACAGTTTGGATCCCGGGATGAGCAAACAGGAGGTTGTGTAGAAGCGAACTTGGATTTTTCCACCTTTCCTCCTGTGATCAGATACTCACAACACCAGATTGAGGTTTTGGTGGGCATTTTAAATATGAGACTGGATGTGTCAATTCTTATGCTTTAATAATCCAGCATCTCTATCGAGGCTGTGAGAGACGAGGAGGGCGTGGAGTTTGAGACTTCCATTGCCTCTTTCTTCAGGTCCTTAGGGCTTGCAGTGTGCTCCTGATGCGAGCTGGTGCTTTGTGCTCTGCTTTGTTTTCCTCACTCAGTGTTATTGCAGGGATTGACAGAGCAATCCCAGGGAGTTTTTGACATAAAGATCTTCCCATCCTTCTTCCCTGCCACTGGAAAACCCTTAGAGGTCCCTGGAGACTTTAAAACTCCAGAACTTAACTTTGCTTGTGCTTGTTCTTTACAACTGTTGTTGTAATGCATCCTCCTCACATTGCAAACCCTGTACCCCTTATTCCACCGTGCACAGCCTGATGTGTTCCTGCTCTTTTGCTTCCAGGCTGCTCAGGGAGGAGACGACCTGGATAAAGATTTCACTGAGGAAACAATAAAAGAATATGATGGGAATTACTATGATAACTATTATGACCGAACAGTCTCTCCTGATATCGGCCCCGGCATGCCTGCCAACCAGGACACCATCTATGAAGGGGTAAGAGATTTTATTTCCCATAGGAGGTGAGTCTGGCTCAAAGTGTTTGTCACCCCATCATTAATAGCATAAAGATCAGCAATGCAAAAACCAGTGAGAACATCTCACTTGGATTCATTCCCCTGCACTGCACGTGCTTTGCATGGGGTGGGGAGGTGCTGGTTTCTCTTCTACATGAGCATCAGCATCCTTTTGGGGCAGAAGTTGGTCCAGGATGTCCGGATCCTGCTCAGAGCAGTGATGCTGATGGGGGTGATGTCCTCTCTGACTCTGGTTTTGTGTTTCCCTTGTGTGCTGCAGATCGGTGGACCACGGGGCGAGAAGGGACAGAAAGGGGAGCCCGCGATTATTGAGCCGGTAAGGATCAAATGGTGTTTTGGTGTTAGTGTTTTCCCAAGGGAGAAGTCCAAGGGACATGTTTGGTGTGGCCTGGGGTGCTCTGGTACAGCTGGGAGGAGAATTTCCCATGGAGGAATTACTTGGTTCATTTAAACACTTTAAATACAAAATACTGTGCATTTTTCTTTTAAAACCCTTCAAGCAGTGACTGAAATCATGAAGTTCAGTCTTTCCCATGAAATCTCTTATTTACCAGAATAAACCCAGGCCTTTCAGAGGGGAAGCATCAGGCAGGGGGCAGGTCCCACCTCTCTGGAGGTTTGAAGTGCCCTCAGCTCACAGTGACCCCAAGTCCCCAAGCGCTGGTGGCTGAGTCACATCCTGACCTGAACTTGCAGCTTGGGATTGGCTTTAATTGTGCCACTAATGAACTGATCTCTGTGGAAATGAAGCAGTTCTCCCAGCACATGGCTGGGGGAGAGGATGGGTTTGCTCCTGCTGCAGGGTCCCATCAGCTTCCCGAGAAACCCCATGTCATCTGGAGTGGAACCCAGCTCTCTCTTTATGGTCTGTCCTGGCCTGTTTGTGGGCTTGTTTTTCTCTCTAAAGAGCTGCCTGTGCCCTCTGCAGTCAGCAGAAACTGTGGGTGCCCAACTGAGCAGCCTGTTACATGAGGATGGAGCCACTATGGGGACACCTGGGGCTTGCTCACAGGTACCCACTGGGCAGAGCAAGAGGCTGGGGGTTGATGGCCACGTGTGTGTCCCCTGTTGGGTACCAGGATGCTGCGGTGCTCCCATGGGTGCTCCTCCCAGCCTGAAGCTGGGGCTGCAGGTCCTTGCAGCCGCCTCCCCGCATGCTCCCATGCACCAGCAGCTCAATTAACCAGCAGCTCAATTAACCTGGGTTCTCTGGCAAGGGCCCAGTGCAGCAGCACTTCCCATCAGTTATTTCCCTTTAATTCCTCCTCCCTTTCCTTCTCTGACCGACATTCTGCTGGGGGGAGCAGGGGTGCAGCAGGGCTTGACAAGCCTGAACTGAGCATCTTGTAAAAGCTTTTCTGACCTTCCCTTCCCTCTCTTCCTTCCTGGGGCTCGCTCCCACCCTGCAGACACAAGGAGTGAGCAGTTTGCTTATCAGAGGTGTGGGAAGGGTGGGGGGCAGCTGAACCCCAGGGAAACGATGGCAGAAACCAGCCTGCCCCGTGCAGAGCCCATCGGAAAGGCTGCAGAGCCAACAAAACAGTTAAGTTTAATCATCCAGAAAGAATTTGGCTGCCTTCGCTATTTCAAAACACTGGAGCATGCATCGCTTGTGCCAGAGAGTAAACAAGACCAAATGCCGCCCTGTCCCGCGCCGTGCGGTTCCTCTGCAGCACAAACCCGGATTCGCTGCGCTCTTTAGCTCTTTTTTCCGATGGGAGCTGCAGCAGAGGGGACAGAAGCCCGAAGGCGTTCGTGGGATCCTGCAGGTTCCCTTCCACCCTCCTGTCCTTCAATCCTTGCTCGGTGCTGACACTTGCTGGAGGCAGCGGGGCAGCACAGCTGCAGGGTGAGGAGGGCTGAGCTGGGGATGGATGGATGGTGGGGACCCCCATCCTTCAAGGCTCCAGGCTGCCTGTGCTTGGGGGGGCCCTGGTGCTCCTGCCTGCTCCAGGCTGGGTGTGATGAGCCTTTGCACCCACCTCTATGTGCTGTAGCCAGCGTCTGGGCTGTTTCTGTGACATGAGCCGCACTTGTGGGTAGCACCTGGGTGTTGACTGAGTGGAAGCAATGCTCTCTGTTCCCCTTTGACAGTCCCAACTCCACGGTTTGCCCCCAAGGCATCGCCCTTGGTGGCATCCTTCTCCAAACCAGTCCTGGTCCCCAAACCCTCCCACTTTTCCATTGCTGCTGTTGATGAGCACTCATATAAACAGTGGCGGTTTCTTGCCAAGGAGAATCTCCAGATGTCCCTAAAGCTTGAGCTCAACATAAACCAACAGATAAATATGGGAGGATGCCAAGGATGTTTGCATTGCAAATTGGCTCATTAGCCCCGGCCCTTACCCCACACTGAGGAGCGGCCCCAGGCTCTGCAGCTGGCCATGGGAAGCAGGACCTCAGCATGCTCAGCCCATGGCATGGTCACCCAGCAGCCCACGTATGTCCTGGGGAGACCTCTGTGGGCTGGAGCCCTGCAGCAGCCCAGACACAGTTACTGGTGTCTGGTTTAGAGCCTGCACAGCAAAATGTGCCATCGTTGGTCTCAACAGGGATGGACCTTGGGGGTTCCATATGGGAAACGGTTTGCTGGCACCTCTGGGGTTCCCTGCACAATGTCCTCATTGTTTGCCCCAAAAGGAGCCGGTGCTTGGTGGATGGCTTGGGGGACACTTTCTCCACCAGCATCTTCGTGGTAGCTTCCAACAGCAAATAATGCCCTTAGTGCCGGTCGGAGGAATGCTGTGTAGGGTTCGCCCTCATTCCCACCCAGACGAGAGCAGCGTCTCCATGGCAGGCAGGAAAACTGCTGTCAAAATGGGCACAGGGTGAAGCCCGGGACCTGGATTCTTCCCTGGTGAAGAGCAGCAGCACAGGCGCTGCCTTCTGTGAGGGCAGCAGCAGCACATTTCCCCTCACCCTTCCAAGTGGGGTGGGAGCCAGTTTTTATACGAGGTGGAAATGAGTCGCATGGACACTGGGAGAGACAGAAAACAGCACTGGCCACGCATTAGTGGTGCAGAAACGCGCATCCCACCAGGGGAAGCAGGGGTGGTTCATGTTTCACCCCTTTTATGCTCCTTTGGGCTTAGAGACTGTGGCTTTTGGGGCAGGAATGCCTGGATTTCCCTGTAGCCTTTTCAGATGGGTTCAGCTGGGCCCTCCTCTGCTGTAGTGGCTGCCATGGGGTCAGCTGAGGCTTTTAGCACTGGAGCTGAGTCCAGGAGACCGGCCAAGGGTGACCTAAGGCCAGTCCCCGCACTTGTTTCCTCCTGGCTTCTCCCATATGAACTCAGTGCTTATCTGCAGGGTTTTACAGGCAGAGGTCATCCCACAGGAGAAGTGTCCCCGTTTGCTGCCCATGAACTGGGCAGTGCTGGGATGGCTTTGGCTCACCCTGGGTGCTGCTGGGGTCACGGTCACTGGCCCGGAGGGAACAGGGCCGTGCTCACCATGGGGCTCTTCCCAGCAGATTGTCCTGATGCTGTCAGGAAAGCATTTGCTGGGATTATTGAGAGGTTTCTTTCCTGCCTCTTACGTACCCATGAGGAGGGGGGGGAGAAAAAGCTCGACTCTACTGAGTACATGATAGACCTGATTTAAAGTTATGACAAAATATTTAGATTAAAAGGACTGGAATAACATTATTCTACCGTTTTGCCCACGCAGTGATTTCCTGGGTACCCAGATAAATCACGCACGCAGGCTGCTGGGAAAGTCATTTTAAAACCCCACTATTTGATTATTAACTTCTTTTTTTAAGCTGCTTGGGTCTAGAGACAGCTTCTTCCCGAAGAGGAGCTTTTCTCCTGCACCAGCACTGTGAGGCTGGATGTGCCCCAGGGTTTGCCCTTTGCTGGCCATGTGCTGAGGGCAATGGTTTGCGGTTGGGAAGGTGACCCTGTGCTGGGAAAGGGTGGGCTTGGGGCTGGGGCTGTTTTGCTGTGCCCTGTGTGATTTAAATAGACGGTATCTCGTTCTTCAGTGGGCAATGCCTTTTGTGCCTCTCATCCGGGGGGAGCAGAGATGCTGCAGCTCGGGGGTCCCCACACCCGGCAGCAGGAGCTGGAATACTTCAGAACAGAGGAGGCATTGGGCTTTGCAGCCCTGTGGGCAGAGTGACCGTGAGGCTGTGCCTTGCTAATGGTTCTTCTTCTCTTCCATTGCTCAGGGTATGCTGGTGGAAGGCCCCCCCGGACCCGAAGGCCCAGCAGTAAGTGTCCCTTTGTCTGCACCGCAGGGTGCGCGCGCCTCTGGGGTGCTGATGTACATGGAGGGCTCTGTTGCTTCCAGACACCCACCGAGGGTGCAGAGAGCTCGGGGTCCATTTCCTGGTGCAAAACTGAAGAGAAAGCTCTAAGCAGCTTGTTTTTTCCCTGTCTTTTCCATGCTAGGGTCTTCCAGGACCTCCAGGACCAACTGGACCTGTGGGCTTAATGGGTGACCCTGGGGAGAGGGTGAGTACCCGTGGTTTTCTCCTCTTTGGCTCACTTTGTATGTGCAAAGTGGGGCTGTAACTTGGTGTTTGCATCTTTGGTTTTGATATCGCTTTAAATCAGTTTTGTCACTGGTAGCAACTGCTTTGTAAACTGCTGCTGGCTCTGTGATGTCTCAGCTGCTCCCAAAGCACTTTTGTGGACCAGGGCCCCAAATCCCACATTTTAGCACCACACTTTGGTCAGAATTGCATCTTTGTTCATTATTGCTGGGTCCTCACCTGGGATCAGGCTGATCTGTGGTTTTGGGAGCTCCTGGACTGAAGCCTCGGGTCAGCGCGTGTTGCACCAGCACCATGTGAGCAGCAAAATGTGTTTTTGGGATTGCTGGAAGTTAAACCCCACTCTGTGAGCTGGGGCTCTGAAATGACCCTTGTACCAACACAAGGTTTTGCTTTTGTTCACCCTGTTCTAGCCTATTCCCCCTCCCTGGCAGAGACAGCCGGGCAAGCAGGTCCCTGTCTGGTACCCAATGGGACCAGGCTGCCCATCACCTCCAGCACTGCAGCCAGCGCAGGGATTGTGCCTTGACACCATAGCACCGATGGCCTCTGGCTTTGCACAGGAGCTGAGATGGGATCATTCTTAGCTGCGTTTGGGCCTGAAACTAGAGGAGTGCCCTTGAGCAGTGCTGGTTTGGGTGATGGAGCCCCGCTGTGGTGCTGCGCTGGCAGGAGCAGAGCGGTTCCTGCCCGGTGCAGGAGCAGTGTGTGCTGCAGGCAGCTGAGCAGCAGTGCAGGGGCTGCGTGGACCAGCACCAGTCACTTTGCATGAGTAAATTCATTGATTTCAGCACTTTGTGAACAAAACAAATGGAGTTTGGAGCCTGACCCCGTTCGGGTGCTTTGGTGCATCTTGATGTCAGGCACAGTCAGATACGCTTTCAAAATAGGTGTTCTGCAGTTCCAGTGGGCTCCCAGCAGCACGGACATCCTTCTCCACCTGGAGCTGGCTGTGGCCTGAGCCCCCGACAGTGCCCTTAGTGTAAAAGGCAGTGCTGTGCCTTGCTCGGGGGGTTTGTGCAGGCAGGCTTGGCTGGAAGCCTGTGTTTCCAGAGTTCTTCCTGGAAAGCTCAGGAGGGAGGGGGCAGCAGGGGCACAGATCACAGGAGGTGCTCCTCAACACGAGGTGTGCCAGCTTGTCCCTTTCCTCTCTGAGCTACCCCAGAGGTGTTGTCCTTCCCCAGTGCTGCCCTTGCTGTCTTTCATCTCCTGTAGAGGTGGTTCTCATCAGCAATAAGGAGGAGATGGGAAACTGCCCCTCTGCAGTTGGTGCTCTTCCACATTAACCCCTCAGGGTGGGTTTGGGACCCCTGGGGCAGTCTCCTTCCTCCAGTGGAGGACAAAGCAACCAGCTGGCTCCAACCCTTCGTTATTCACCTCCCAGCCCCATGACACGGACATTGCAAACTACAAACACTGGGAGAAATAAAACTGCTGCTGGCCTGCACTGGGGTTGTCTGCTGTGGGGTTAAGGTGTGCTTGAGGAGACTGCTTCAGTGTTGGGATGCTCCTGTGGCAATGGCTCTAACCTGAGCCCTGCATTTCTTTAATGAAGGCTCTTTGTCACCTTCTCGGTCCCTGGGGACTTGCCTGGAGCCTGCTGGCTCCCCCAGAGCAGTGCTGTAGAGAGCCCAGCTCCCCTGCCCTCCTGGTGTGTGTCACTGGGTTTTGATGGAGCAGTAATAACGCTTCTTGCGGTTGTGACATGACTGAGAACGAGAGGCCCTGACTGTGCTCCATTGATCGGTGCCTGCAAGCTCAGAAAGTCAATAGGCAGCTGCAGGCTCTGCCCGTGGCCAGGAGCCAGGGCCAGCACTCAGTGAGGCTGGATTAACCCCTGAGACACCGCAGGACCAAGGAAGGCCTCTGTCTCCTTGGGTATGGGACTTGAGAGAGGATGGGCGAGGGCACAGCAGTGGCTTTCATCTTGCAGTGGTCTAGGATTAGTCAAAAGAGCTGTGTGGCTTCATCAGGCTCTTGGTGGGTCTTCATCCTGGAAGGGTCCTATGTGTTGTCCTTGACGTGCTGCTTCTGCTCCCAAGTGCTCAGTTGCCTGGCAGGGTGGGTGCTGCAGGCAGGGGGGATGCTGCAGGCAGGATGGGTGCTGTGGGCAGGGTGGGTGCTGCGGGCAGGATGGATGATGCGGGCAGGGTGGGTGCTGCGGGCAGGATGGGTGCTGCGGGCAGGGTGGGTGCTGCGGGCAGGATGGATGCTGCGGGCAGGATGGGTGCTGCGGGCAGGATGGGTGCTGCGGGCAGGATGGGTGCTGCGGGCAGGATGGGTGCTGCGGGCAGGATGGGTGCTGCGGGCAGGATGGGTGCTGCGGGCAGGGTGGGTGCTGCGGGCAGGGTGGGTGCTGCGGGCAGGATGGATGCTGCGGGCAGGATGGATGCTGCAGGCAGGATGGACGCTGCAGGCAGGATGGATGCTGCAGGCAGTCTGTGCTCCTGCCCTTGGTCCAGGCAGATGCAGGCGTTTGGCCAGGCTCCTCTGGAGCGGCCGTGCAAAGCCAGGCAGCAGCAGACACGTTGTCCCCAAAGATGCTGCTCCACACCCTGAAACGAGGCGTGATTTACATTCTAGCATATCCTGCTTTTTTGTGTGGCCAGAACAGAATGTAATACAGCATATTGTGCATAGAGAATTGATGAACTTGCAGAGCCAGGAGCTGCAACTGCATTAAGATACTCCTTTTCAATTACAGCAGCTCCTCTTTTAATTTGTTTATTATTAACCCTGCACATAGCTCATGAATTTACATGACACTTCAATGTGTGCAGCGAGGAACATTTCCTATGCCTACATCTGATAGAAAGATTTCTTATTTGCAATCAGGCAGGTGCACTGAATTAATATACCCCTAATATTCAGCTATGTTAATATTGGCCAACACTCATTTAGCTCTGTTTTATTCATCGTGTCAGTTTGTTCCTTTATCCCACAGCACAAAGAAGAGCTTGTGCCGCCGGGCAAGCTGTGGAGCAGCCTGGTTGTGGGAGGTTTCGGAGGACTCAGCTGGGAGGAGGGCAGTTTAGGATGGCTTGGGCTCCTCTGAGCAGTGGGAAGAAGGAAATGGGGCGCTGAGGAGAGCAGCAAGCTCTGGGATGGGTGCTCTGCACTGGAATGAAGAAAGTCAATGGGGGAAATGTGCTCCTTTGAATGCGATGAGCGTTAGAGCAAACTGCAGCTCTGCGCCAGCCCTGCTGTGTGCCTGGAAATGTGGGTATTGGGGTGCCCTGGGCTTGATCAGCTTGTCCATGGGGAAGGCTGGTCACAGAATGAGAGCTGTAACTTCCAAGGCCATACAATCACTGTGTCCCAAAGGATTTATTCCCCCAACAACAGGTTTGCATCTCAGAGGTGTAATAGGATTCCTAAAATCCTCACTGGGGTTCTGAAAGGGTTGATGTGTTCAGGGTGCCCTTTTTATCACTGTGAGCACTGCTGGACCTACGAGACCCCAAACGCTGCAAGGGATTCTGCATTCTGACCAGGGCTGAAGAATAGGCTGAGAGAGAGAGACCCTTAAAGCCAAGTCAGGCTCCCTCAGTACCGTGGGCTGCTGGGCACCACTGTCACTGCCTGCTGCTCGAGGAGCCTCGGCACTAACACTGAGGTTTCAGTGTAAACACTGCCTTGAAATATTGCATTAGTGTTTGCACTCAGCGTGGCATTTTAGAGCACTGCACCAAATGAAAGCTGAAGTCCCCATCCCTGGCTGCTGTATATCAGCAAATCTCTATTTACATAATGAGTGACACAGATTTACACCAGCGGAGGGGCTGGCGTGCTGCGCTTCTGAAAGGCATTCATGAATTTCAATTTACAAAGTGCTTTATGGGGTTGATTTTCCTCCAGCCCATTGCCCCCCACTGCTCCACCCCACAAGGAAGAGGCCTCGCACACCCAACATGGAACAAAGGGAGGTGTTTATGTATGAAAACATTGCATCGGTGTTTGTCAGGCAGAGTGCGTACAGAGAGATAAATAAGCTCATTCCTAATCCATCATTTGCTGGACTTGGAGTTAACGGAGAAGAGAGAGAGGGAACAAAGTTTATTATAGAAAATGAGCCTGGCCTAAATTATTTATCATGCTTCTGCTCCAGCAGATGGGCCTGGCCCCTGCACCGCAGCAGCCGAGTCAAGGGCTTCGGTGTGAGCCAGGCTGAGTGAACAGCATCATGAGCCTGCCCTGAAGAATGGGTGTCCCGGTGTGTTGTGCAGGCTCCCTTCAACACCGACCCTGCTGCTGGGGTGCTTCCTCTCCCTGCTTGCTCCCTGGGCAGTGCTGCTGCTGCGGCATGGGGAGCAGCGCTGTTATTCTGGGCTGGTTGTGGTGCAGCCCTTGGCTCTGCCCTGTAATTGTGGTGCGGGTCCAGCCATGGGCTGGCTGGGGCAGGGTGGAGCAGAGCAGCCCTTCACCCCCACCCTGGAGCTGGGCTCTAATTTAGTGCTTGAGCATCTTGGGTCCCTTTTTAAGAGGGAGGTGACGAGGGAAATGTTAAGTTGAACGTGACATAGAGGAAAGGGAAGAACAGGGAACAAAAAGACGCACCCAGATCTTGTTGGAAGACAGTGGGGCAGGGATAAAACACCAGGTGCTTTGGGTTGGTTGGTTAAAAATGGTCTGATTTTTAGGGATCTTGTGACATGTTTCTATTTCCCGTGTCCCTTTCCCACCTTTCCCCACCTCCCTTTGCCTTGTGGGCTGAGTGTGCAACTTCCTGGGTCAAGGTCTGGCTCTTTGGTGTCCTGGAGGTTGTCCATAGATGTCTGATTTGTGGCAGGGTTTGATTTTTGCTTTTATTTGGTGCCTGCAAGGGCTGGAGGGCATCAGGCAGGTCAGAGAAAGCAAGAACTAACATAGGCGCCTGTTGCTTGCCCTTGCAAGAGCTTTGCTTCTCCACAAGAGGGTTTATTATTGGTGTTTACTGACTAGGGAGCATCCAAGTACTCGAGCTTGAGCTGTTGGCCAGGCAGCCCTGCCTGCCTTGCCATGCACTGAGCACCAGGGCTCCCCTTGGCCTCTCTGGGATGTGATAAGTTGTCTTGCCTTCAGCTCCCTGAGCTGGTGTGAAACTGTAATCAGGCATGCACACTGGGTAGTTGGATGTCATCCTCATTGCATGTAGGATTGTTGGATGGATGTGCAAATTTGGATTAACTTCAACTTCTTGCCAAGTACACAACGGGGAATACAAATAATCTATGGGCTGTCTTAGGAAAATTGGCCATATTTGATTATTTATAGCTCCATCAATAGATCTTCTACTGCATGCTTGTTTCTTTAGTTGAGTTAAAGAGACTCAACTGATGTTAATCAGCACAGCTCCATGGAGATCCTCAGAGTCCTGCTGATTTACAGCCACTGACAGGATCACTCACTCCACTGTAGATACAAGTAGCCTCATAGGACTAACAGAAAGACAGAAGAGAGAAAAATGTGATGACCCAGGCGACTGAACATGTGCAGAAATGTATTTATCTTTCCACATTTCTATCTTGCTGACCTGAGTTATGAAGTTTCACATATATTTTTTAATAGGTTTTATCAGACCCAACTAAGCATTGATTCCATGAACTTGGAACATTGCAGAGACTTTAATTGCTCACTCAAAAATTGCACATGGCAGACTCTGGAAATAGGGAGGCCAGGATGTAACAAGAGGGAATCACTAAGGAAAATCATGTGTGTTCCAGACGGGCTTCCACAAAATTTGCCATGGCATTGGGATGCCCACACACTCATCACCTGCCTGTCAAGACAGGGAGCCTTTTGTATCACGACATAAGCCTTCGCAACCATGACTGCTTACATATGGACGTGACTAAAATGACACCATAGATGTTTGTTTCTATCCTTGTTTCTTGTAGGGGCCACCTGGTCGCCCGGGTCTCCCAGGAGCAGATGGTTTGCCAGGACCACCAGGGACAATGCTGATGCTGCCGGTAAGTACAAGCATTTAAATGAGTTGGCTTCTTGGCTTTGCTACTGCTTAGTGCCTGTTCTTGTAGAAGCCTCCCATCTCTTTTACATCAAGGACACGTTTTCCTTGGTGGAAAAGATGGGTCCAGATGGTTCCCCTGGTAAATTTACTTTCTACAAAGCACTGTAACTTCGTCATGGGTCAGAAGCACAGGGCAGCTGGGTCAAAACTTCCAGAAGGGATGAATAAGCTTAGGTGTTTGTGACTGGGCATGGTGCTGGAGAGTAAGAGTCATGAAGAAGCAACTGAAGACAATCCCAAGAGCAGAACCCTTCCTCCTGCCTCAAACAGTGCCTCAAAGCAGGTGCTACAGTTGTAAGCACCTGAATGAACTGGTCTCTTTTGATGGCCTATGCTTAATGTGCATTGAAGCTAGCGAGTACTGAGTCAGCTGCCTTGGTCCTGGGATGCTTAAAGGAATAGTTATGTTTTGTGTCTGCTTTGATGTGAGAAAACCCTATGGAAACCAGCTGCTGCAAATGAGTGGTTAGGTACCAAAAGGAAAGAGTCTTTAGTGAAAAGCCACAGTGCTCTTGTCCAGGCTCCAAATGGGAGGGTAATACTTGTGTAGGCTCCTGGCAGGGTGCCTGGGACAGCTTGGGCCGAGTGCTCAACATGGAGCTTAGCTGGCCATTACAATAGGTTTGTTGGTCCCTACAGTAACCAACTGTAGGCCTATAAATTGCATCTCTTTGAAGCTGCTTGCCAAGTTCCTGTGGTCGTGTACCTAGCGCCAACCAAGCGAAAGGCAGAGGTGAAATGGAGGTGAAAGAACTGTCCAAGTAGGGTCTGCAGCCTGGAGTCCTTCTTGCGAAACTCCAAATGCACCCCAAATGCACATGCAGTTAGAGCAGGAGAAGGGTGTGTGTCCTGGGAAGTGGGCTTGTAGCTGTTGGGGGTGGCAGAGGCAGAATTAAACACAAAACTCCTTCCCTTTCAAGTTTGGGAAAATAAACCAGTAGAGCTTGGGGTTTGAAAGTCCTTTGTACGCTGAAGGATCCTGGCTTGAACAATAGGCCAGCCTCTGCTCTTTGAAGCACACTGCCATGCTTGAGAAATACAGCCTTTGTCCTGGGGCAAAGAGGCAGCTAGAGCCAAATAACCTGATGCAACCCCATCTCCAGGGGTCTCCTGGCCAACAGCATCCACATGGGGAGTATCAGCGCTGTGAGAGGTCTGTGTTCTGTTGTGAGGGGTGGTGTGTGAGGGCCATACAGCTCGGAGCCCACACCTCTCACCGTGTGTTACTCTGGGTTGTTCCTGTGAGCTGGGTGACCCAAGAGCACCGTGGTCGATTGGATGGTCCAGAAGAGCAGCTCTGGTGTTGGGTTGGCCGCGTTGAGCGGTTGTTGAGGGGTCAGGCCCCTGGGAGGGTGGAGGGACCGCAACCCTGTGACCTGCTGTCTGCATCTTGTTCCCATCAGTTCCGCTTCAGTGGAGGAGGAGATGCCAGCTCTAAAGGACCCCTTGTTTCAGCCCAGGAGGCTCAAGCCCAAGCCATCCTGCAGCAGGCCAGAGTAAGTGAAGGCTGGTGGGGGGGTCTCTTGCAGCAGATGCCTGAGGAAGAGGAGGAGCGGGATAAATGTGTCAGAGATGTCTTGCACCATCCCCGGTGCTTGGGGGTCACTTCAGCACTGGCTGTTGAGATAAGCTAAAAAGCTGATTATTTCACCCTTGAATGAACTAAAGCTCACTGGCATCTCCACCCAGCTGGGGGGCACGAGCCCCTTTTGGGTTTATAACAAGGGTTTTGGCTTAGTTAATGCCATTCTGGTTTCCATCCAACCGCCCTCTTACATAGGAGTTTGACTTTATACATATTCAGGTAGAGTACAGAGCGCTGATGCCACCAGCCACTGCACATTCCCATCCATGAATGTTGCTCTGAGGATAATACCAGTGGGTTGTGTGTCTGGTGTTACCTTGTCAGTCCCAATTCTCCTAATTTCAAGCCCGCCCGCAGTTTTCCATCAGCATTTTCTTTTGCTGGGAATGTGACCAGATGAGCCCTTCATGAGAAGCATCTGCTTGCTCAGCCTCTCTGGTTTTGCTCTTTGTTTTCTGCTTGTTGAAAATTGGGCCTGTAATGAAGAGCCCAGAGAGCCTCCCTCCCCTCCCTCCAAATCCTTTTTCTCTCTTTTGGTTTTGTTGGTTTTATTTATTTGAATCAATGTTCAGTTTAACAAACAAACAAATCCCGGGCGGCTTCTGGGCTGGGGATGAAAAGTTGGATAATTCCATAAAGGAAAAAACCCATCTATTTCTTGGTTAACTTCAACCTATTGTTAGATAATTCCAGCTGAAAACCCTGATGCCAAAGCAGAAAGGGAAACAAATTGTTTTGTGGGGAAGCTACAGGATATGGCAGGAATGGAAGAGGAATCCTGCGGGGGAACGACATCTTCTTTCCTTTTTGGGGGTAGTTTTTCTTGTTATCATTGTTAATTACATTTTCAGGTTGTTTTATTCCCTTTAAATTCGGGTTTCATCAGGCAGCTCTTGCTGTCCCAGCTGCCAGCGTTTCAGAGCATCTCCCTTTTAATGGGGTGTTGTGAAAAGATGCCACAACACGTAGCATTTGTGCAATATTGATGTCGTTCCAAGTGCAATTGCGGGTAGATTTTAATTACTGGAGTACACAGATAATTACAACTCTTTTAGTGTTCAGTTGTCACGAGGGAACGAGTTGCCTGAGTGATGCTTTAAAGTGTGGACCAGCCCCATTACCCGTCATGGGGATTACTGACTTGATGCATGGTTCCATGACTCCTTAATTACGGAGCTAAAAGCCCCCTGGTGCAAATAGAATTGTTGTTCTGTTCACAGGGTATTAAGTGGTAACTAAAACAAGGGAGAAACCCCTCCAAAATTGAACTCTCAGGATGGTAAAGAAAGAAATCTTCCTAACCTGGACTGGGATCATATTTACCTTAAATGGTTTGTTGCTCAAAGCATCCATGTTATTGTGTCTGTATGTGATGATGGAAAAGGGGATATGGGCTGCAGAGGCAGATTCACATCTGGTTTAGATGCAGGTAATTCCTCCCCCCTCCACGTGGCAGGGTCTGGGCCAGGGTTTGTCTATACACACCTATGGATGCCCCATCCCTGGCAGTGTTCAAGGCCAGGTTAGACAAGGTGAGAACGTGTGGCTGGTGGCACCATGGTGGCTTTGTCCCGTTGCAGCAGCGAAGCAGAAACACCAACTGAGCAACGTTTCCCTTTGTGTTGCAGCTGGCGCTGAGAGGACCAGCGGGTCCAATGGGTCTGACGGGGCGGCCAGGCCCCATGGTAAGTGAACGGGCAAGTGAGCATGGAGCAGAACCATGGATGCTCTGGGTTACCTGCATGAATGTCTCTTTCTTAACGTGCGATGAATATTCCCTCTGGCTCTGCTATGGAAAAATGTAATAAATCCTGTTCTCTGTCCAAAGGGACCCCCGGGCAGTGGAGGACTAAAGGGAGAAGCTGGAGAAATGGGACCTCAGGTGAGAATGGGCATAGTGGGCAACCAGGAGATCTGGGGGAAAGGAGGGCATGAAGCCCTGCTTTAGATGCGGTTGTGAAGGAGCGAGTCAATAACCCAAAGCCAGCTGAACATGAGTGGGAACATCTGCTTTGCATATAAATGTGTCCAAATGCAGACTCGAGACATAATTTTAAGCTAGCAGTGTAAGACTCTGCAGGTGGAAGGCCTTCTCTTCCCTTCCCTTCCCTTTCCTGCAGAGACATCCGTGGGGGAGTCCTGTAAATATGAGCTGGGTTGGAGTGTGAGGAGTTTGCTGATGTTCAGGAAATTGTTCCCCCAAGCTGTAAATAAAGGGAAATTCCCACTTTCTAATAATGGGGGGAATTAATCTGTCTCCACTGCATGGAGCTGCTTCCGGGGCAAAATCTTCCTCATGCAATTCCTGTGCAGGGATACTCAGTCCTGAGCCTTACCCCTCTGTATTTTGAACCATGGGCTCTGCTTGAGGACTCCACACCCCATTTCATAGCCCTGGTAACCCGGGCAGCCCCAGCAGCGCTGGGTCCCTCTGTCGTGCCTATGGGTGATGATGCAGTCCTTCCTCTCTCCTTGATGCCTTGCAGGGTCCACGAGGCATCCAGGGTCCTCCCGGTCCGGCAGGGAAGCCAGGCCGCAGGGTGAGTGTCCCGGGAGCTGCTGACGCCTGCGTGAGCTGCGGCCCCTGTGTCTGCTGCCAAGCAATTCCTGAGCACCGCGAGCCTTGCGCAAGAGCGGGCTGGTGGCCAGCGGCGCCTGGTCCAGGAGCTCTCTGTCCATCTGGGCAGGCACAGGAGGGTGGGAGTTAAGGGCTGGGTGATGTGGAGAGAGCTGCAAGTACGCGCTCCCCATCTTTTGCCCTCATTTTCTGTTCCTCGGTGCTGTTGAGGTTGTAGCTGCATGAGCAATGGGCTGGCTTGGACAGTGCCTAGGTCTCAGTAGTGCACAAGGAGGGTCCAGGCCCTGGGGGTTGCTGGAGCTGGTATAAATGGTGCTCACCTGCTCTGCCGACATCCCTGATGCTGGTTTCCATTTCACACCATCCTCTGGCTCATCGGTTTGTCAGAGGAAGGAATGAAAGTCTTTTGTGTGACCCACTTCTGGCTTTCCCGAGCATATTCCAATTTGTGAATGTAGTGATTATCATCTCTTCAAATGTGCTGGGAAATGATGATTTCAAATTAAAATCAAGGACCATGTCCCAGCATCCCCAGTGGTGAAGCAGCTTTGCTGCCGTGTGTCTCACACCAGCCTGAGCCCGTGATGCTCCTTCCAAACCAGACCAGCATGTTTTCCTTCCCAAGGGAAGCTGCTCCCCAGAGAGCTCTGACTTAAATAAAGCTTCACTCGGCCACAGAGCAGAGAGCAAAAGTGCCTGGGTGCTGCCCTGCCCTTTGTGTTGGACTTTGCTTTTCTCTGTTGCAGGGACGAGCTGGCAGTGACGGCGCCAGGGGAATGCCGGGACAGACAGGACCAAAGGTACCACCATGCACTGATGTGCTCTTGGAATCCACATCTGCTCTTTAGCAGTGAACTGAGGGAGCCTTGGCAGCAGGAGCCCACCTTGCTTGGAGAGGGTGGTTGAACTGGTGCCAGGGCTCCATGTTAGAGAGGGAGAAGTTAGATGCACACCTGGAAGGCACAATAGCAATCTGTGTTTTCCTTTCATGTTTCTAATTGCTGGATCCTCTTAAGAATGAACTGTGCTCCCTTGGCTGCTGTTGGAGAACAAATACTTTGGAATGCCAATTATGGAAAACAAACATGAATGAGAAGTTGGAAATGTCCTAAAATATAACTACAAAGCCCCCACCCTGTTAACTGGGTGAGCAAATGGGGAAGGCGTGGTGAGGAATTTTAATGCCCTGTAGTTTTATTTGGGACAAAATCCCTTCATTCAGCTGTGATCTGCTGGTATTACCAAGCAAGGAAGAAGCTGTGCCACTGAAATTGAATGCAGAGAAAGTTTGCTCAGGGAATCATGTATTAGAAGGTTTAAGTACTTTATTATGTAGATACTTAAAGCTGGAATAGATGGGGTTTTGATATAGAGACAGGAGACTGCAAATCATTTATCTGGTAAAGTGCTTTAATGAGCGTCGACTGCCCTCAAAGGAGGGATGCAGGGAAGAAGGGGAAGCAAAATAACGAGCAGCACTGGGAAGGAGAAGGAGATCTGCAGTGAGCAGAGGCAGAGCGATGCTCCAGGGCCTGCCAATGGCAGGAGCTGCCCATTCCACCGGGTGTACCTCGGCCAGATCAACCTGTCCTCCCAGTTGCAAAGTACACAACAGGAGGTGGAAGTGTGAACTAAACTGGTTTCTCTTTTAGGGTGACCGAGGGTTTGATGGCTTGGCTGGTTTGCCTGGTGAGAAAGGAAACAGAGTAAGTTACCTTCCACTCGTCCTCTGGGTACTGTCTGGAGTGAGCCCGTGGCTGGGGAGGGCTGGGAGGAGGACAGCGACTGCTGGGGATGAGGCACAGTGGAGCGCGACCATGTCCCATCAGAGCACGTGGGGTGTCAGAGCATCCCTCCCAGGTGCAGCATTCACATCCCAGGAAGCTGCAAGATCCTTCTGGGCCTGATTGAAATTGGAAAGGCTGGGGGGGGGGAACTGCCTTAATAAAATGTAGGCTGAAAAATAAAGCAAGAGGCAAAACCTGCGTTCAGGCAGTGCGGTTGTGGATGGAAGTTGCCCAAAATTATAATGGGATTTTTCTCTTCACTTTATAATTAAACAAAAGGGGAAAAAATGCAAGAGGGTGGTTATTTTGGCAGGCTGTTCATGCCTCCCCTCCCTAGAGAACACAGCCATGGCTTTATAAAGCAAGGGAGTGTTTGAACGGCGGAGATTGCATCATGATTACAAGCTACACGGGAAAGGGAAGATGGTGCCTTAGAGAGATGCTTAATCAGCCAGAACTGGGATAGCATGGCTTGGGTAAAGCAGTAAGTGCAAAGCCTGGCCCTGCTCCTGAAGGAGCTACTGCTCGGTTCCCAGTTCCCTGCCAAAGTGTTACCAGTAAATCCCATGAGCTCTCGCCCTGGAGGACATCAGTTCTGCCCATGCTGGAGCCCACACGTGGCCCGAGCAGGTAGAGGGGAGCTGCTGCTTGGAGAGCACATGGAAAGGAACCGTGAGGGCACCTTCAGCACACAGGGCAGGCAGAAAAGTCACGTCCATCACCTGGTTTATCAACGTTCCCCAATGTTTTCCATTGCCAAAGTCCACCTTCTCTGAGGCTTTTTCTCCCTTCCCTGTATAGGGTGAGCCAGGCCCCCACGGACCCCCTGGGGCACCCGGAGAGGATGGGGAGAGGGTAAGTCTGTCTCTGGATTGGGAATCCCTTTGAATTCAGAACTGACTCCTGTAAACAAGAAGCAGATGCCCCATCGGGCAGAGACGTGGCAAGAGCAGCCGGTCTCCTGCTGCTGGTCCTTGTGTCCTGGGGATGCTGCAGATGGCCATGGGGGAGCAGGGAGGTGGGAGAGGAAGTGAAAAGAAGAATTTGTGTTGAAAGATCTCCTCTTCTTAACAAAAGTCAGGTTTTCTTAAAAGAATGAAATAACAGAAGAAAAATGATGATCTTCCAGGTGAGCGAGCATCAGCTCTGATGTTCAGAGACCCAGCAGATTGCAGCAAGGCTCGGGGAATAGAAATTCCAGACAGAAAGGGAATCAAAGATTAAATTAGTCCCTTCTCCTTCCACACTGTTTAGTCAATAGTCACAGGCCTTTAGCAAAGGTCACATTAAGTGGTTGTAGGTCTAGAAGGGCTGGTTTAAGAGGAGAGATTGCAAATGCTGCAGCAGTGCCTGTGCGGAGCTTGTGGTTTAACCAGAGGAGCGAGTATGGATTTCCCCTGCTCTAATCCCCTTTTCCTCTCCACCTCTGGCTGTTTGTTTCCTCTGTAAAGCACAGATAATAACACATTCCTCACCACGAGCTTGGGGGGAGAAATTAGTTGTGGCTGTAGGTGCTTGGAAGGCGAAAAGACCAAACCCGTGTCTTGTGGGGGAAGAACGAGTGTTGGGAGAGCTTTAATCCTATAGAGAAAAATAAACCATTTGAGGTGTGTGGAGAGAAGCTCCGAGGGCAGTGGCTGTAAGGAAGAGCATGGATTTCAGCAGCAGAAGAGGAGGGTTTACGAGGGCTGGCTGCTGGGATTGATTTCCTATAGGGAGCCTCAGGGTTTGGGTGATTTAAAAGCAATTCAGGGGAAGCGCCAGCTCGTCCTTGTGGGGGATCCGTGGGGCATCAGAAGGAGGTAGGGAGTGGAAGGATGTCGAGTTACCCCTTTGCTGCCCCTGCTTTATCTGAGGAGCTCTGATTTGGCTCAGTCATACTGAGGGAGGTGCTCCCATACTCACCTGTCATTCAGTATGGGACTAAGTCTTGTGGTTATTAACTCACATGCCCCGAGTTGTTTCTACACCATCCTTTCTGTTACCAAAATCCATCTCTATAGACATGGACATGAACGATGCTGTATCCCTGCAGCAGTTCTAATCCTTGGTAAATTCTGCCCACGCAGGATTAGTCTCCAGGCTTACGAGGCCTTGCTTATGCACGGCTGCCCTCCTATTACTCCAGGGAAGCTGGCGTTCTGTGTGAATGCTGTTTAACAAGAGTGAGGCACCTGTGCTGTGACTGAAATATAACTGCCTTGTTCTGTCTCTTGTGCCGTTTCTCTCCGCGCCTTCGCTGCTGACCAGGGAGATGATGGAGAAGTTGGGCCCAGAGGTCTACCTGGAGAACCTGTGAGTATCTCCTTTGCCTTGATGTACAGCGGCACTGCTTTGGCCAAGGTCTTGATACGGTAACAGTGGTTTTAGTGGTTCTGTGGGACAGTTCTGGTGCTGAGGTCCTCAGTGACTCCCTTTAAGTCCTGGCAGGACTGAGCTTGAGGGGACTTTGAGCCCTGACTTCAGGGGGGTCAGTGTTCACCCCACAGTGCACAGAACAGAAACCTGCAGAGTTTGTGGTGCTTTGGCCTCCACGTGCTGTGAACACCAGAGCTGCTGAGGCAGGGCTAGAGCAGGAGGGAGCTTCTTGGTACCAGTAAGGTTCAAAAGGTGCAGGTGGTGATGGACAAAACCCTCTTGACCACCATAACAAATGCTTTCAGGGAGTTTGCCACTGAAAAGAAACAGTTGGGGTGTCAGTTTGAGACTCTAAAATACTTTTTTTCCCCCAATACTATTTTTTACTTTATTGACAATGGTAAACTCTGCTTCTGGCTGGCTGCAGCTCTCTGTGTGTAGTACAGTTGTTGGGTGCTCATTTCATCCCAAATGCATTTCTTTTGTTATGAAAAGAATATTATCTACCGTTTACCATCAGTTTTGCTTTCAGAATGGCTTATTTTGTTGTTCCAAGGCCCAGCATGATGGCCTGAGAGTGACTGATGGGAACATCTGAACACACTTTATGTGAGAAAGGGAAGGGCTGGCATTTACGGACTCACTGGAACTAAATCATAGACAAGATGTCTGATGAACTTCTAGGAAAGATTAATGAACTGAGCTGTCTCCTTGGCACATGTCTAAGCAATAACTTATGGGTTATTAACTTCTTAAAAGCATTTATGTGCTCAGATAGGACAGTAACAAAAGAGGAACTTAACTGATGATAATGCATGCAGAGAAGGTCATGTTTATTTCAGCAGTGTGAGTAAAAATATCTGTGATGGCCAAGACTGAAGGCATCAGAGGAAGCTTTTTTGTCACATCTACACCCTAAAAGTGCACGTTTGCCTCTTTCTCTGCTCTCAGCCAAAAGAGGCTCTTTCCTGTTTCACTGGTAACTAAAATAAGCGGTGGGACTTTGGAATCGGTTTCTCTTCATCCTGCTCCGTTCCTTTGTGATCCCCATCACTGGGTGATACAAGCAGAGTATCAGCATGGGCTGTGGCCCACGGAGGTCTCTGGTGCCAGGGGCGGATTTCTTGGTCGATGCATCCAATTTTTGCTGCACTTTTCCAGGATCAGAATCCCTGCAGTATCCAGGAACAGACTTTTTCTTAATGTCTCCTTTATTATCCTGTAACATTTCATTTAATTCTTCTGTTCTCTCTGCATCATAAAAAGAGGGACATATCATATTTGGGCAGACAGACAAAACTGCCCATCAGTCAGGAATGATTTTGCTCTGTGACAGTGAGCAAGCACCATCCTTGTAAATGTCCCAAGTTCTGCTATGGTCCCTCATTTAAGCAAGGGCCTGTGATTAACTGTAAGCTTCCAGATTCACAGCTGAGGGTGCACAGGTCCCCATCTCATTCCTTTTCCTACAAATCCACCTGAAGGTTCCAGGTAGAGGAGATGCTGGTATCTGCAAAGCTTCCTACTGAATGAAGGCAAGTCCCCTGCCACGTCTCTGCTCATTCAGTGCGATGCTCCAATCCTGCCCCTTTCCCTGAAGATGATGTGAGGTTAAACCTGGTGAGAAAGCCAGAAATGGAAAGGAAACACCGTGATTCCAGGAGTCCTGGGTGGTTTAAGGCTGGAGAACCAAATGCCTTTGGAAATGCACATTTATGCTGCAGGCTGAAAACCTTTCCCAGCCTTGCTGAGTTGTACAGATGTGTCAGTGCTAAAAATTAAACCTGAATGCTAACCCCATTGCTCCAGTAATGGCATCGGGTCATTCTTCAGACACTCCCTGGCTGGAGTGACTTGGCTGTGAAGGGTTTTGTGTCGTTGTGGAATATGATTACATCAGTAATAAGATGTTGGTTTAAGTAGGTCTTCTTCTAATCCCAGGGTTAGGATCCTAGGTGTCTGTGCCTGTGTTATTTACCTTTACAGCTCAAGGATAGGTGCATCCAGGATTTCTGTTACTGGTTTGTAAACCAGGAACGCTGCTGGGACAGCGAAAGCATCAGTGTCATTGCCGTGCCAGCCCCGGTGATGCCCATCCCGCTCCAGCAGCACTAATTCCATCTGCTTCCCCCAACAGGGACCCCGAGGACTGCTGGGACCAAAGGGGCCGCCAGGACCCCCAGGGCCACCGGTGAGTTCCTGGGGCTGCTGCCCTCCTCGGGCAAAACACCCTGTTCCCGTTAGGCATCCAAGCGGATAATGCAGCTGCATAATCTCACACATCTGTGCAATGAAAAGCAGTGGTATTCAAAAAATAAGTCCATTTTCTCCCCCATTTTCAGTGGTGTCACGTCCGTTTAAAGCAGCTCAAGATTTGGGGCACCTGAGTAAATATTAATGCCTTGCTCAGGCTGAAAGGGAAGAATGAGAGTTATTAACACAGCAGCTTTGCCATTAACTTCTGCCTGAGGGCTGGTGGGACTTTGAAGCAGTTTGTTCATATTTTGGGCAAAAGCCAAGGGAAGAATGTGCTGTTTCTGATCCAGGAGACAGTCACCTTGTCTGCTGTGCACTGCTGGGAGTGCTGACACGGGTGCTCTCCCGTAAATCACAGCAGCTCACTGGAGTCCCAGAACTTAAAAACCAAACCCTAGGCTGCTGCTAGAGCTAAAGGGCTCAGTGTGTAGTGGGGAGTGTTGTAAAGCCCTTAACCCCTCCTGGGATGCGAAGGCATCTTCATGTTGAGCTCCTACCCCTGCTGAAATGTATTGAGGGTTCAGGATCTGCTCCAAAATGGTCCCTTCTCCCACAAGCACACCGTTGCAGCCTGTATCCTGCTCAGCCCCAGAGCAAAACAGTGGCGGGGAAGTCCCAGCAGGACATCTCCAGTGGACCATGTACCATGTTACCCCATCAATAGATGCTCAGGACCTATTTGACCACAGCTGCCTTTTGGTTTGGCATAAGGCAGCAGAGCCCCATTGCCTTCACCTGCTGCCTCACTGAGTGATGCGTTCACATCCCAAGTGAGCTCTTCATAGAACTCCAGACTGGTTTGGGTTGAAGGGACCTTAAAGCTCCTCCAGCTCCAACCCCTGCCACGGGCAGGGACCCCTTCCACTGGAGCAGCTTGCTCCAAGCCCCTGTGTCCAACCTGGCCTTGAGCACTGCCAGGGATGGGGCTTTTCATTGCTGTTCCATCCCTACCTGTTGTTGGGGGCAAATCGGCCGCTTTACCAAACCCCTTTACAAAACCGATCCCTTTCCCCATGGTCCAAAGGGCTTCCTGATGCCTTGGTGTATTTATTTGTATTACCATTCCTGTATTTATTTGTATTACCATTCCTGTATTTATTTGTATTACCATTCCTCTGCTTTTGTGGTGCGAAAGAACAAGATCTTTTCTTAGTGCTGTTTCTAAATCCCTCTGCAGGGTGTGGCTGGTATGGACGGACAGACTGGGCCCAAGGGGAATGTGGTAAGTTCTCACTGCAAGTTTTACAGGCAGTTGAGATAATATAAAGAGTGCAATGTAAGATGTCCTCTGTTCAATTAGATTTTCTAATTGCTTTTTAGCCTGGTCTAGATTCCTGCCAGAGCCTGTGAAAACCACAGAGAGTATCTTCCTGCAGCAAATGGATGTTAATTTATTATAATTTCTGATGGAATTACACATTATTTCCCCATGAAAGATCAAACATTTTCACTGAGATGTGTGTTGTTCTAATGAATATCAAAATATAGTAATTTAACTGAGAGGAAAAAACCACCTTTGTGCTTCATTCTTTGTGCTGATGGGATGAAAAGAGCTCCCTGCAGAAGAGCCAGTGCAGAGACAGGGAGTGTTAGAGCCCTGCTCAGCTGCTTTGGGCTGCATGTCCATGCAGAGCAGTGAGTGTGCCCTGGAATCACTTCCCTCCTTCCTGTCCCACTGCAGAGAGAGGGTGCTTCCCTTTCCCAGGAGCTCTCAGCTCCCAGCAGAGGGTTAGGGAGGGTGCTGGGATGCTGCACAGGGGCAGGAGCCAGAGGAAGCCCCGGCTCCACTCTCACCTCTCCTGCCTTCAGCTCTGCCCTTGTCTCCTCGCAGGGTCCTCAAGGTGAGCCAGGTCCCCCAGGACAACAGGGCAACCCGGGTGCTCAGGTAAGAGGGAAACTCCTTCTCCATGGGTAGGAGCAAGGAATGATGGTTTAGAACAAGCTGCATTCCCCCATCAGAGACAGGACCTGCACTATGGAGGTTTGCTGGGAATTGGCTTCATGATACATCACTGTCCCAAACTCCCTGAAAACACTCCCAGTTTCACCTGGTTCTTACCTGGGTATTGCTGTCATGAGGCAAAGCCAAACCCAGGTCCAAGCCATCTCTTGTGGCTCATGCCTGACTTTTACTATCTCAAGGTCCACTTGCTCTGCAGCCAGATGGGTGGTAGAGGTGTCCAGGCCTTGCTGCCAGCCTTCTCCACAGCTCTCAGCAAGTCTCACCTCTTAGAGCATCCCTTTTCCATCCTGGGTCCGAGCGGTGCAGCTCCCTGGGGAAGGAGATGAAATGTTATCATCTCCCACAGACATGGAGAAGGAATGGACCTGGGGAAGTCCCCAGCTGTGTCAGGCACTAGAGTCATGCTTGGCTCTGGCACTGCCAAGATGCATTTGGAAGGAATAACTTGTTCCTTAATGACCCCGGGTTTTTCTCCTCCTCACAGGGTCTTCCAGGTCCACAAGGCGCCATCGGTCCCCCGGGAGAGAAAGTACGTTTAAATCCTGAGCTCTGGCTTCAGACAACTGTTGCCATTGATATGTGTGTGCTGCCTCAGCTGCTCCTTTGCTCCATATGCAACATCTGTTTGCAGCCGTGTCTATGAAAGTCTAATGCCTCTCGTTCCAGACAAGAGGGACAAGAAAGCACGGTTTACCTCTAATTCATAATATTTGCATTCATTTCCCCTCTTAACAGAAACATTCTGATGGTAAAGCATTAGGAGAGGATTGAAAATTATCTTGTTCTGTGGGCTAAATGCCTGGAAGTCTGAGCGGGATGGTAATGGGAAGAGCCCATGGATTTGGCTCACTCAGCCAAGATCCCTCCACCTCCTCCCTGCCTGCTCCAGCTCTCTTTGATTTTCCAGTGCTGTTGCTGCAGGGTAGCAGCATCTACCCCTGCTGGTGCTGGACTCCAGTTATCAATAATTCTCCTGCAAAGGAGCATTATCCTGCAGCTTGTCCTTAGGCGCATGTGCAGCATGTGGCCTTTTGGCAGGACATAGCTTGATGCTTCATGCCCCAGTGTTGAGCTCCCACTGCTGCGTTGTGTCTGTATGCACAAGGTGCTGGCACTAACGCTGCCGCATCCTGGGATGCTGGAGCAACTCTGCCCACAGAAATAAGCAGACTCCCTACAACCGCAGCATCTTTGCTGACACAGTCACCTCTCTGCAGCCTTCCACAGCTAGGCAAAGCAAGAACTGAGTCTGAAACACTGCATCCTCCAATGTTCTGAGGCTCTGACCATTGCGTGTGTTGATTATTTGCTTTTAGGGGCCGCTGGGCAAACCCGGTCTTCCTGGCATGCCTGGGGCTGATGGTCCTCCGGTAAGTTGTTCTCTCCTGGGTCTCTGCTTGGCACCGGGGCTGGGGGCCTGATTCTGCACCCATCCACCCTGGGGTGCACCATGGGCTAGTGAAGCACGTGAGCCTGCAGGCTGGGTTGAAGGGTTTGAGGGTGAGAAGCTCTGTCCCAGCTCCAAGCTTTGCTGAGCCTCACAGTGCAGTACTCAGTACTTCTCACCATCTCTTGGGGTCTCTCTTTCCCCTCCTCCTGTTTCTCCCCCCCTATTTCAGCAGGTTGCCAGCTCACTGAGGTAGGGATGCTCTCCTGTGTGTGAGCATGTTTATGCACAGTGCAGCACAAGCACGGGGTGGTCCTCATCTTGCTCGGGGCCGCTGGGCACTGCTGCGGAACAGTGATAAGGGCAGGTTGAAATTGCATGTCAATATTGGATTCCTGCAGCTTCCTCCTAATCCTGCTTTAAGCATCATTTGCTCCTTGCTCTAGAAATGGTCTTAATCTCTGGCCTTTAGACCTGATCTCACTTTTACACACCTCAGGGGCACCTGGTTTTTACAGTGATAAATGTAAAATAGCTACATCCCATAATGCAGATGGAAAGCATGGCAAGAAAAATGACATTTGCCACCCTTGGATTGTCATTCCTTCAGAGGACGTTTTGAACGCTCATGCAATGGTTAGTTAACAGAGCAGCTAAAGCAAATCCCACGACATCTCTAAAGCTGTAGCTTTTGGTGTGAAATTGCTGCAGCAGCCTCCAGGGAAGCTCAGCTGGAGAGGACGCCAGTTCTGTTTTCCTGCATACTGAAGGTGGATAAGACCTGCGAGCTGAGCACACATGGGGTGTGTGGACATGGGTTCTTTGCCACAGATAGTGTGCAGATAGGCCGTAGGTTTGTAAGCATACGGGATGCTCTTTCAAGGGACAAAAACCTGCCCTTGTTCTCTATAGAAACTGGACTTGGACCTGAAAATCCCTGAGGGCCTTTCTCACGGCAGAAGCCAGCTGAGCTGCTCATCAGTTTTGGGTCTTGGCAGTGGTAACAGAGATGGGCACTTTGAAAGTGGTGGTGATGTAGTGCAGAGTGGACCAAAGCTTTAGAAATCCTGCTGCACTGCCAGTTTGCCTCTTGGGGATGCAGCTACCAGGAGCTGCAGGCAGGCACGCGTCAGTGACCCTCTTTGTGCACTGATGCTCTCGGTGGTGTTTAAACTCACAGGACAAATTCAGGTTGCGTGTTTTGTTGATGGAGAAGTGACATCTGTCATTTGTGTTTAAACCAGCTTGTTTCAGGAGGTCTGGCTTGCCCGACATTCCCGTTCTGAAGAGCAATGGTGGGAAATGCTCTTAGGATTTTCCTTGTTATATTGGTAATAAGTAATCTGGGTATTTAGAGGAGACGTCATAAGTGAAGAAACCATTGAGTGCAGGAAGTCTTAGTGGCTTTAGAGCTATGTTTTCATCATCTTTATAAAACACCGCACAGTGAGTGCCTTTGGAGGGGCTTGTTGCTTTTGCACTACCAACCAGAGAGTCATCTTCCACCCTGGCTCTTTCGGGTTCCAGCAGTAGAGAAATCAACACTAAAAATTACTTTCATGGATTTCCCCTCATTTCTCTCTAACCCTCCAATCTCTGTCTGAGTCAATTCACACTGTTTTCTGCTGACTGCAATCCCAGCTGAAGAGCTCTAAAGGTGATGAATGAGAACGTGTTGGGAACTCCTGGATGTTGAGTTATTCAGCATCAAATCCCAAGAGGAATGCTGGCCACCAGCCAGCCATGGTTGGAGAGGATGCAGGTTAGCTGAGCCTTTGTCATGAGATCCTGTAATGGCCCCTAGGAACTGGGAAATGAAGTTGGGGCTCTGACCAACCGGGGGTCCTGCAACCTTCCCAGGTTTGCCCATGCATGGAGTTGGTTTTACCTTTTGTTCCTATTGCTGTGCTGCTGAGCTCACTGAGCTGCTCTGGTGGGTGAGGAGCACTGCAAGGTGCTTTGTGCTTCTCAGCTGAAGGTGCTGAAGAGTTAAAGTACAAATAACCTGGTCGAACAGCAGCAAGGGCCCAAATGTTGCTCTCCTTCTGGGGAAAGGTCCCTCTTGCAAGCTGGCTTCAGGGGCTGTTTGCATCAGGGAGAGCTTCCTGAGAGCAGCTCTTCTCTTACAACTAAACCATAGCAGCCTGAGCGAGCTGTTGGCTTTGGAGCATCAGATGTGCACTAAACCCGTTTTCCTCTTTGTCTCTTTTATGAATAGGGTCACCCCGGCAAGGAAGGTCCTCCTGGAGAGAAGGGGAGTCAGGTAGGTGTCAACGTGGCCCTCATCACTGCTAAGGGGAAGGTCGCTGTGGCTGCAGGGGGGCAGACGTCCCTGGGGCTCTGGGGATGGCCGGGCAGCCGGGGGATGTGGGTCGGTGGCAGTGACAGGAAACAAACCTTGGTGAGATCTGGAGCTGAGCCCAGGTTTCCTCTCTTGAGAGTCTCTGCCGGTGCTCGGGCTGGGCTTCCCTCTGCTCCTCCCGGCTTTGCTGGCAGGCAGCGCTCCGTAACGCAGCAGACATAAAAACTGAAGCTGCGAAGGGAGCCTTCCCTTAACCAGACACAAATAAATATCCTTTGTGGCACAGGGAATGGAGAAAATAACTCTCGTTGTGTTTCCTGGCCTCCCTTTTCCATCCCCTCCCCCTCAACCCCCTCTTTAACAATATATTTGAGAATATTGCCGGAGGCTGGAGGCCTTGAATTATACATGAATTATACAGCACCCGTCTGTCCGGGAGATTTACTCCCTGCATCCCGCTGCGTCCCATTCGCTTGGAAAACATTGCATCTGTCTTTGATGGGAGCAGTCGGGTTTGATGGATGCCAGCCCCAGCCGGGCTCGGGTGCTGCAGGGGGCATGACCCATGGATGCAGCCGCTTGTCTGGCATCTCCCAGGGCTGGGAATTCAAACATCAGCCTCTGCAGGGTACAAGAAGCCAGGGAGTGCTTGTGCTGGTGCTCCCCGTGCTGGGGGAGCTTTAGCAAACACCAGTGAGGTGATTTCGGAGGGGTGCTGGGGCTGCAGGTCTCTTCCAGCCGGCTTTCCCATAAGGTCTGGGATGCTGTTGGACCCATGGGCTCTGCCTGGCTCTCAGGCTGGAAAAGCTGGTCTGTGTCAGGCTGGGAGATGCACAGGGGTCTGCGTTTAGTTAGGACCTGAGCAAAGTAAAAGCCAGCCAGGTTCACTGAAGACCATGGTTCAGTTGCAGGGGCAAGCGTGGCAGTGAGGGTGGGCAAGAGCTTTTTCAGGGCACGTATCGGGCACCGTGGTCTAGCTCAGCTCCTGGTGTCCCTGGGGATTTGCAGTGCCAGAACGGAGCTTTGTGAGCATCTCCTGGCCCACATAGCTCAGGCCAAAGGACATCACCCCGAGGCTTGTGCCTCAGGCAATAACCCCTCTCTGTGATCGTTATCATTGCAAGCTCTGCTGTGTTACTGCAAAACCAGGACGGTTTGGAAGAGGGGAGACAGCAGAACATGGTCTTCCTCTCTGAGAACTGTTTTCTGTAATCCAAACCACAAATCGTTGTTATCACAAGTTGTTGCTACCCTGCCTCTTCTCATCCCCTTTTCCTATGGTTTGGATCTTTGCTGTTGGCTCAGCCCTGTGCACTTGCTCCAGGTGATGTCCCTGTAGTGCTCTTGGCTATTTTGAGCTATTTTCAGGTGGCTGCTGTCATTTCCATCCGGTCCAGAGCAGCCACAATGGCCAGGATATGTGCTTTCCACACACTGTCCTTATTGCTGCACCTTCATGTTGATTTGTGACATGTTTTTCTTGTTTGCCTTTTTTCCACCCCAGGGTCCACCAGGTCCTCAGGGCCCCATCGGTTACCCAGGACCACGTGGAGTCAAGGTAAGGAGGCCACAGAAACAGTGGCCGTGGCATTGCTTGTTCAGCTGGAGCTCTCCAGCTTGTGCTGGAGATGGGCACTGATGGGGGATGCAGATGCCCTACCAGGGCACTTAGGACCACCTCAGGGTCCATCACCTTCTCCCAGGCCAGGAGGATTACAAGTCCCCTGCTCTTCAATAACCCCTCCTAGCACCACTCAGTGTTTGCAGGGATTTCTCTTTCATTATCTTGAGCATGGCTCAGGCCCATTCCGGTCGTTTCCAGTTTACAACCAAAGTAAATCTCAGCCAGAATGTGAAGATTTTAACAAGGCTTGTTAATAAAACAAAGAATCCCATTACTAAAACAAAGCAAGCTTTTCATGCTCCTGACCAAGACCCTGTTAGATGAAGCTGGTGCATCTCAGCAACATGCTCTTTCACTGGACTGAACTCCAGCCCTTTTCTTGTTCCTGCTGCCTGCAGCACTCACATGCTTATGGTAAGGCTGTGGATGTTTTTTCCCCATTCAGCAGTGGTTGTTCTGCCCATTAAGATGTATTAGTTCAGGTGCAGATGCATCCTGCATCCCAAAGGTCCAATGAATCCGCAGGAATCTGTGCTAGCAGATACAAGCACAGCTTGGGGACGGACTGTGGGTGAAGCAAAGCCCTCTTAAACCCTTTTGTATATTTTTTCAATAGCAGAGACCCATTTGCTGTTCTGCCTTCAAAATGTAAAGGGATGTATTTAGCCAACACAAGCTTCCATCTCATTTTTTGCAAGGTTGCAGATTGAGACATAGTGGTCCATTAGGGAATGGTTTGCTGTTGTGTTTACCATTAAAGTGGAACTGTTCCACATTAGAGTGATCTACAGGAAGTCGTGCACCAAACCCATAGTGAGTACAGACAAGGTTTTGCTTCCTACAAGCAGTGTTCTATTAACTGCACAAGCCTCCAGCTCAGGAGAAATATGTGTCTCATTGGGTTTGCAGCTGTAAATAACTTGGAGCTCCCACCAGACCCTGTCCTGCTGCACAAATGTTGATGTACTTTTAATTATACTTTTTCTTGACGTGCTGAAGGGAAGAACAGATTTAAACTACCCCAAGCAAAATACTGGTACTCAGAGAAAAAACAACCAAAGCTGCTTCTGTTCGCTGTCAGAGATGCATTGCCCAGTGCAGCTGGGGTAGGTGCTGAAGGGTGATGCTTGCTCCCAAGAGGCAGGATGGATGGGGATCCTGCAGGCTGGGCTGGTGGCAATAGCAGGGGGCAGACCCTGCCCGCACTCAGCACCTCTGGGCTGAGCACCATGGCTGATTGCCTTGGTGAAGCCTTGGAGGGCTTCTGCACCATGTCATGAATGCCCATACTGGTCATGTTACCTTTGCTTTTTTCCATGTTTTGGTCCCTAAATGTGCTTTATAAAAGACAGGGCACACACAGACATGAGAAGCATGGCAAGAAAATAGCTAGGCTTAACCCTTGATGGTGGGTGTTGGATGCAGTGCTGCAGCACAGCACAGAGATCTCTGACAATGTGCTCAGAGAATGTAAAGGGGATTCACTTCCCAGGTGCCTGTGCACACTTGAGCATGGGTTTTAGTGCGAATGCTTGAGTGGTCTCAGCATGTTGGCAAGGCATCTGTGGGAACGGGCTGTTGGAAAAGCTCTTCATAGTGAGTTTTATCCCTGGTAATGTAACTCCTGGGCAGGGAATGGGCAGAAACCACCAACCCCACCTACCGAGTCAAGTCTGTGACTGTAAGGTACTCACTGGTTACCAGCCGGACATCAGCATCTGGCATTTGATTAGCAATGTGTTAGAAACATCACAGTTTGCAGAGATACCATTGTCAACATCACAGAAAGCACAAATCACTGTGGTTAATGATTCTTCACTCTGAAGCTTACCTATACATGTGTAACATCTTGTTTTATCTCCTGCAAGGGAGCAGATGGTGTTCGTGGATTGAAAGGCACCAAAGGTGAAAAGGTGAGTTACCACTGCATGTTTGCATTGATTTTCTGTGGCCTCTGAGCAGTTTTGCAGGCTGGTCCCTCAGGATGCTCCCTGTGAACTTTTATCCTGCACAAAAGGTTTCTCTCGGGGGAGCAGGGGCTGAGCACCCAAAGGACTGGTCTCCTCTTTGATTTTGGAGAGGGTGCATGCTGGGACCTGCTGTGATGTTCTGTCACGTCTTGGCTTGGACCAGGGAGTGCTTGAGCCTCCCTGACGTGCTCAGGATTTGAGCTGTTTGCTGTGTCCAGCCATCACGTATAGCTCAGGGGCAGTGTTGGGATGATTTCCCCATGACAGAATTTGGAGCTGGAGTGATGGAGTGGGGCGAAGGGTTTGAGGTGTGTTACAGCAGGGCAGTGGTGCAGGGGCAGCTTGTAAACCCCAAGCCAATAAGAGTCAGCTCAGTCTATCCCTGTGTGCCCAAGGATGCAGTTGTTTCTCCCAGAAGAAAAGCCAGGTGGTGGAGAAAAGCCTTCCTTGGTCCCATAAACAGATCCATGTTCCTTCCTTCCTGCCCGCAGTGATCCGTCAGCGCAGCCACAGTTTTAGCTTAGGGAATCCTGGCAGGGACCTTCCAAACCTCAGAAGTCTTTCTGGGAGCTGTGTCTTCGTTGCCTACAGAGGTTTGCTGTAGGATGAAATGCATTATTGATTTGAGCTCTGCAATTACATCTGCCTGCCTGACAGAAATAACTGTGGCTGTCCTGGAGGTTGCCTCCAAGCCTGGTGTAAAACATCCTCCGTGAAAACAAACCCAGTGGCACTCCAGAGATGCTTGGGTCTCGGCGCTGGTGAAGCGGTGTCAGTCACATCGGGCCAGATCTGTGCTCCTGACTTGCAGCCAGGATAGGATGTAGGGAATACTTGCTCTGGCCCCTCTGGGACCTCACTGTTACGCCCTGGCTGGGTTTTGATGTTCATTTGTGTGCACCAAAGGCTTACAGAAGCCAGTGTGATGGGCAGTGCAGGGACCCAATCTTGTCCTCCCTGGGTAGGGGCCATACAGTGAGGCTAGAGAAGCTTTTTTTGCTCTCTTTTCATCTATACACTGTGTTTTCCCCTTTCCACTATCTAGGGTGAAGATGGCTTCCCTGGCTTCAAAGGGGATATGGGCATCAAAGGAGACCGAGTAAGTCTGTGATGGATTGCAGCCATGAGGGTACTGCTGTCAACAACCATGGGGTCTGGGACCTGCCTGCCCCATCAACACTTGTCTTGTCATTAACAGGGGGAAATTGGGCCTCCTGGCCCCCGGGGTGAGGATGGTCCTGAAGGTCCCAAAGGTCGCTCTGGCCCCAATGGTGATCCTGGTCCTCTTGGTCCTGCTGGAGAGAAGGTGAGTCTCAACCATGGGACGTTTCACTGTAAACCCTGCTTTGCTTTGGGTGTCCTGGGTGGGCGGTGGGGCAGTGCCCAGCATGGGGAGGGGGGATTTTAGGGCAGAGCAATGAAGAGGAGCTGCAGGAGCTTTGTGTGAAGGAGGTAAGAGTTGTTCTACACAGAGACCAGAGGAGACCAAGGGCTGATGCTTTTACTGCAGCAGCGTGACTTGAGCGTGTTGATATATTGGTCCCTTTGGTGATATCAGCTTGGGTACAATGTCTTGAAAACAAGACCAGAGGAGAAAGATTGAAAAGTTGGAATATCTTGGACTCCAGTCTGATCTCTGCATGCATCCCATTGAAAATGAGAGCAAAAATTAACCAATAGGTCCCCGACGCATCTGTGGTGCTCACTCTGCATCAGACCCACTTGGTTTACCCCAGGGAGGGCAGATGGTGCTTGTGGTGCCCCAACAGCTTTATTCCACCCATATCATGTGTTCTGTTCTTGGCTGCTCTGCACTTGGCATCTCCCCTTTGTGCTGGTGCAGCTCTGAAGCCCCTCGCCAGGTCTCCCTTGCTCTTGCTAACCCACTTGTGTCTGTTCCAGGGGAAGCTCGGCGTGCCAGGACTGCCCGGCTACCCGGGCAGGCAGGGCCCTAAGGTAACTCGGGGGGTTCGGTCTGGGGGGGGCAGGGGGTGCACAGCAGACACCGGCCGAGCTGTGGTAGGGGATGGAGCCACGCTGAGGGCTCAGCCCCGGTCATGGGGCAAGGTGCAGCAGCAGCATCTCCACCTCAGGGGGTCCCTCCTTCCCACCCAGGCAGGGCAGATTGATACAGGGGTAAAACCAGCTCCCAGCCCTCCGCCGGTGGGAACACCTGCAGGGGCTGACAAGGGAGTTGGAGAGGGGTTTTTGACAAGGGCAGGCAAGGACAGGACAATGGGGAATGGGTTCAAACTTAAACAGGGGGGATTTAGGTTAGGTATTACATATCCTTCACTGGGAGGGTGCTGAGGCGCTGGCACAGGGTGCCCAGAGAAGCTGTGGCTGCCCCATCCCTGGCAGTGCTCAAGGCCAGGTTGGACACAGGGGCTTGGAGCAAGCTGCTCCAGTGGAAGGGGTCCCTGCCCGGGGCAGGAGGTTAGAACTGGGTGAATTTTAAGTCCCTTCTAACCCAAACCAGTCTGGGATTCTGTGAAGTCAGTGATGGCTTCTGCATCGCTTCAGTCTTGTGCGAAGCAGTGGGAAGAGATGCGGTGGGACAGGGCTGCAGCATGTGAGGGGGTGCAGGACAGCGTTGGGGAGGGATGTAAACAGGCTCCATATGAGCTGTCATGCTAGTAGTACGTGTGACAATCCTCCTTGCGTTCTGTTTAGCATCTTCAGAGATCTGAGCTAGTGTTAAGTAATTAATCCAGGAGAAGAGCTGATGAATCAGGGTCTCCCTGGAATGAAAATAAACCTGCCACTCGCAGATCTGCACCCACCTTTACTGCACACCCACCCTCAGCTGGGCCAGCTTCAAACGTGCCCTTTAAATGAGAACTGTGAATCCCACTGCAGAGCCCGGGGCTGCAGCTCCGGTTTTAGACACCCTGGGGGCTTTGGGAGCTCAGGTTTTCATCAGCTGCTTTATATCAGGAATCATATTTTATTATTCATGTGCATTGCTTGAGGAAAAGCCCAGCCCAAGCAGGCTTGTTTAACACTGGAGCCATCATTATCTGCGGGAGGTTGTTCCTGGTTGTGGTGCTGATGGGTTACGCTTTCATTTGCCTTTTCTCTCTGGGATGGGGATTTTCCGTTTCTTTGCCCAATTCCTATTCCAAGAGCAGCGGCCGCAGCTCTCCAGGCCTCACGTCACAAAGGAACAAGGCAGGAGTTAAATTTTTATGGGAAACATGGAGACTTAGGAGCTCCCAGACAAGAGCTGCCTGTTCCCGAGTGCCCGGCACAACCAGGGCTTGGGCCTTCGCAGGGACTCTGAGCGAGGCATGGCCTCTGTTGCTGCTGTTTTTGGATGAGATGCAGTTTCTGAGGGCATCTCGGGTCTGTCTTTGGGTTTGTTTTTACTAAAGGAGGGTTTAATACAAGCAGCCCTGGGAGCTGTGGATGGCAGCGGGCGCTCGGTGCGGGTTATTCCAGGCCAGCGGGTGCCTGGTGTGCATGGGCAGAGCTGCCCCTGGCACTGTCCTGAACCACTCACTCTCTCTTTGCTCTTTTCCCAAGGGCTCCATCGGCTTCCCAGGATTCCCAGGAGCCAACGGAGAGAAGGGCACACGGGTAAGAGCTGCTGGGCTCATTTTCCTCCATCTCCAAGGAAAGGTCCTTGGGCAGGATGCAGGGAATGCTCCGCTGTGGGTGGCTGCTGGGCTGGTACCCTGGTTGCTCTCACACAAAGGGGTTGCCCAAAGAGGGTCATCCCAGGACCAGCAGGAGGCTCCCAGTGCTGGTAGCACCCAGCCAGTGCTGCAGGCAGCAGCTTCCCAATGAAACACCATACATTTTCCCTCAAGGTATTTTAAGAGACTCCAAACCCGGATCCTTCCAGCGCCATCAGACTTTGCTCAGGGCACAAAGAGCATTTTAATTACCAGTAATTACTGGAGATGGCTGAATCTGTTCAGCAGCAGCAGGAGCCATCTTTAGCCCAACTTGAGATTCACAATGCGTAACTGGAAACAGTCTCACAAGTTTCTCCTTTTAATGAGAGCTCTTCTAAATTCATAGACACCCTTAAAATGTGGGGGCTCCATCCTCCAGACTTGTCTCCACCTCTCACTCCCACTCCACAGACTTTGCTTCCTAGTAGGGATTGTCTAAGTGCACTGGTGGTGGTTTTCCTTCGTGGAAGACAGAAGAATTGACAAGAATTGGGGGATTCAGAGTGCAGATGTGAAGTCATCTTCTGCACCAGCTCTGCTCACGAAAGAGAGGGTGAGAAGAGAGAGTGGAATTAGTTTCCTTTGTACTCTCATTTAAATACAAATGACTTCTAACAGACATGTTTGATAGGAGCCCAGAAAGTGTAAATCACTTTGCACTGCATTAATAACATGCCATTGAAATTTGGTTTATATCCAACCCCCCCCTTTTTCATCCCTCCTGAGTAATTTCATCTCATTCTGAACTAAAATGCAGCATCCCCATCCCTCCCTCAGCTCCGGCTGGGAGGAGGGAGCTGTGAATAAAGCAGCTGCCACAACAGCCTTGAATTCACTGTAGCTCTGTAATTACCACCCGCTTTATCAACTGTACACCAATAACATCCTTGGGCTGGATTTTCGGGTGCTGTAAAACGGCCTCAGCACCGCAGCGGGGCGGAGATGTGCTGCTCTGCAGCCCCATCCCTCTCCATCCAGCTGCTGCTTTGATGCTGGTGGGATGGAGAGGCAAGTTACTGGGATGGGAAACCTGTCAGGGAGCGGGGCAGGTACCTGGCTGCTGGTGGTTTGTGAGATTGGAGAAAACCCCAAGGGTTGGGCTGGTTGAATTTTGGCAGTGTTCAGCAGGATGAGGGACTGAGGGGGGAGCAGGGGTGCTGGGAAGGGGACCAATGTCAGGACCGAGGGAGGAAAAGAGAAGACAAAACATCAGCAGCTTCTAAGTGAGCTTTGTGCTCTTAGGAGGAGGCACTGAGGGCACTTGGCTGCACACCTGCAGGCCTCACACTTCCTCAGTCTAGGAATTGGGAAGGTTTCCTTGTATTCCAAGGTTGGAAGCTCCTGTTGTCCCACCTCAGGAGCTGAGAGGTGCCTGGGGGACCCTGTCCCTGGCTGGGCTCCAGAGCACCACCAGCAGCTCTAAATCCCTGGTGGAAAGGAAGGAGATGGGAATGTGGGGAGCAATGAGGGGGTTTGTGTGTGGGGAGCAGGGAGAGGCACCCCTGCCCCTAAGGGGGAGCACGACCTGGCACCTCTGTCAAACAGAAACGTGTTGCTTTGGTTTATGGTAATGTGAATTATTGTTTTCTCTCCAACGTGTAATTGGGCCATTTCTGCTGTTTCACACCTGATCCAGCAGCTTTTGCTTGCTTTAGCAGTGTATTTGTATGTGGAAGAGGGGAGAGAGAGATTTTCACAGACAAATATCTTGGTTAGGAAAGGGACAGCTTGAAGATCTTTTACAAATAGCAGAAATACTGATGCTCAAGAACTCATTTACTATCCTCCTTTTATTTTCCTTTCTCCTAAGTATCCAATATGAAAGAAGTGAAAAGCAATTATATACAGAACAATAGACTGAGCTGGGGTCCCACGGCGTCACACCAAATGGAGACCATCAACTTAATTCAAGCCTCATTGATTTAGGCTTGATAAATCAAAGAACGCTCTCTCCCTCCTAGAAATCTCCCTCTGCTTCTCCTGAGCCCACTAAACGATTGCTGATGTTTTTGAGCATGTCCACACACAGTCAAGAAAGAGATTCTAACATTTGCTTCTCCAGTGACTGTGGAGTAACTCAATTTGCAGCTGAAATCAGCAAAACCCATTTGTTCATCTTTTTACCAGTATTACTATTGTGCTATTCAGCACAGTGATGCCCAAAATAATCCGAATCCCACGTTTCCCTTACAATCACCATGTAGGAATGGAAATAAGCTTTCCAGCTCATTGTTTCAGCAGCAAAAGCAGTCTTCCCTGAAGTAACAAGGAGAAAGGTGAAAACCAAAGGCAGAAGAGCCCAACCACGCAGAGCAGGCACCTGAGGTCTGGTGCTGGCAGGACCCACAGCACTAAAGCTCCCTGGTCCCGAGACCTCAGCTTCTGCACAAAGGGGCTGGGGATGTTAAAAATGGAGGGGGGGAAGGCTGCTTGGAGGGTTAGAGAAGTGTGACCTGTTGGATATGAGGGTAGTTGAGGTCGTGGCTGCTCGGTGCCCGCAGCCAGGCTCGAGGGAGCTGCTCGGATGTTTGCAAACCCTGGTCATAAAATCAATAGTTAGATGTGAATAAGTGGTCTTATTTTTAGAGCTAATAGGCCCCTGCCATTAGGATGGGGTAATAGATCTGCTGCTCGCCCCGTCTGACAGAGCCTGGGGGGTGTGGAGGGACCGAAATACAACCATTTATTTGGGTGCCTGGGAAATAATGGGAATTCAGATGCTTCCCCTCGGTATCCCAGCTGGAAAAATATAGGTCTGTGTACATTGACAGTGCTGTATAAATTCTTCGCAGCAGTTCATGATTAATGACAGCAATAAGCAGGGGAAGATTTTGCTTAAAAATAGAATAGAGGAAGGAGGAGAGGAGGGTTTGTGGTACCTGCGGGGACGTGGCACACGCTCCTCTCCACCTGCTCCGAGCTTAGCCTCTGGAGCGAAAGGAAATCCAAGTGGAGGAGCTGAAGCTGATTGCTGTAATTCATTAAAGAAGGGATGCCTGCAGGGTTTATTAAGTGGAGCCGCAGAACAAGGAGGCTTCAGCAGGACTAATTTTAGTAGCTTGAAGAAAGTTGATTGTAAAGTTTCCCGGCGCCCGTTTCATGTTCGCCTGGTTAATGAGCACAAATAGGAGCAGGCGAGATTACAAGATGATGGATTCAGGGCAGAAAGTGGTGAGTGATATTTTAAGCTGCCTGTGTTCCTTGCAGAGAAAGCAAGGTTTTCTCCTCCTTTAACAGGTGACAGCAGTTGTGGACTGCAGGTCCAAAGGAAGGAGGTTAAACCTGTGGGAATTGTGGTAGCTTGACATGAGCCAAAATAGTGTTTTCAGGGAGCAGGCTCTAGGCCATTAATTTTCTTTCAGGCTCAGGGTAATGGAGCTTATCGTGCTGCCAGACTGAGGACACAGCCATCTCTGTCTTTCTTCTGTCAGACTCAATCAGAGTCCCCCATTACAGGATGCTGAGCGTGTCTGTCACATCTCATGAGCCTGATGCTCTGTCGCTGCTGCAAAACAATGTCTTCAATTACTTGTTTAGCACAGAGTTCACAGAGATGAAGAAATGCCTGTAAATATGTGGGGCAGCTTAATTGGCTGCTGTGGTGTAAAATAACTGCTCAGAGCAGGAGTCCTGCTCGGCTCCTGGCGTTCCTTAAATACTGAACATCACAATCTAGCAACACGTGTGCACATCCATGTGTGCACATCCATGTGTGCATCCTGCCCTGCTTCCGGCCAGGCTGAGGACCAGCCCTTCCCTGTGGCAGGAGCAGGGTGAGCTCAGAGGGAAAAGGGAGGACAGCTTTTGGGGTGGCAGAGTTGAAGAGCTTTCTTGCTGCCTTTTTAGAAGACTACATGGTCATCTTTGAGTGTCTTTGAGGTGTTTTAAAGGACTCAGGATGCTTTCCCTGGGGGTTTATCTGCAGCGAGCTCAGCCTGCAATATTGGCCACTAACTCCAGTTCTTCTTCCTTGCAGGGGACACCTGGCAAACCAGGTCCAAGGGGGCAGCGCGGTCCAACGGTAACAACCCATTTCTTCATTCCTGTGTGACTTGAAAGCTTGATAAGGCCAGGGGAAAGTGGGATCTGATTTGTGTCCTTGCTGGGTAGGATCTGACCTACATCAGTTAAAGCTAAGCAGAGGGGATGCAGAGATCTAGGGCTGGGTCTCACCAGTGAAAGTCCTCTGACCTCCGGAGGCAGTGATGAAGGCTCTTTGCTGCTGGTGGGATGACCCACTGATGCTTGGGTGATCCCGGTGTAGTGCTGTGGGTACCAGATGTTGTCTTTTGTGTCTTTTCAAGGGTCCACGTGGGGAAAGAGGCCCTAGGGGAAGCACTGGGAAGCCTGGCCCAAAGGTAAGGTTTTGGAGAAGCCTGGTGGAATTGTTTTGAAAAGTGTTGGTATAAGAGACTGTCGAGCTTGTTGCTCTCTATTTCCCTTCTGTCCTTTCTCCATTGTACTTTGAAAGCCGAGCCCTCCTGAGCTTCATCACCCAGCCAAATGGCTTGTAACTTAACCATAAAGCACATGCAGGTCCTAGAAATGCATTGACCATGTCTCAGCAGGACATCAAGCACATACACCAGTGAAGGGCCATTGCAACCAGAAGGAAGGGAGAGAACCCCCATGCTATAGGGACCTGCCAATCCTACGACCCACTGATGCTTCCCTTCAGCCCTGGTGCTAGTGTTTAAGTAATGCTTGAACCACCATAGAGGCTTTAGGCTGTGCCATGGGCCAAGGGGCAGAACAGTGCTCAGTTCTAGACCCGGTTTCAGGCACCCCATATGTGACCATCAGTCACCGGGTGTATGGAAGCAGAGCTTTGTGTGGAGGAGTTGTCGCTACCACGCTGCTGGCTGCACAAGTAAATGCCTGGGCTTTGTGTCGGCATGGATTCTTGATAAATTCCTAATCTTTGGAGCATTTATCTCTGGGAGGGGAGCTGGGAGGTGGTGGGAATGTCCTGAGCTCACTGATGCTCTCTTCCCTGTGTTCTGGTTAACTGGCATGGGGGGGACGAGCAGCGGGTTGGTTGTCATTGGATGCTGCTCCTGAGGCAGAATTATTACTAGAGAGGGGCTGGGGGGCTCGGTGCCATTTGAAGTCTTTGTGCACAGCAGCTGCAATGGGGAGCCATGTATTTTTAATGGTGCTCTTTTCTTTATTCACAAAAGGGCAACTCTGGTGGTGATGGCCCCCCTGGACCTCCTGGAGAAAGGGTAAGTCAAGCTGATGGGGGTAAACAGCACTTAGTGCTCAGGCGGGTTTGCATCCTACCAAGTGCCCTGTTGAGCAGAGAGGGGTGGGCAGCTCATTGGAGCTGCAAGGAGGAGCTTGAGTAGGACCTTGGTGTCCTCTGTAAGCATTGCTCCATTGGGAAAGGGAGAAGTCACCTGTGGGTGTTGAGCAGCCCTGGGCTGGAGGAGATGGTCCTTGGGAACCTCGTGCTGCGTTCTCCACATTACAGTACCATAGGTGGGAAATACTGCAGGTGCTCTCACTTGAGCTGGGATGGGGGAAGACCTGTTTTCCATAGCAGTGGGAGGGAAAGGCATGAAGTGGTTGAAAGCCCTTTTCATGTTTGCAGTGGTTTTTGCAGCTGGGACAGGCCACTCAGTCCAATATGCCTGATGGGTCACATCTCTCCATGCATTCTTTACCAGGGATGGCCTCACAATTTGGGGCATTTATTTGTGGCAGAAGTAGCTGATTTCCCATGTCTTGAGCTCACATGCTGTTCACACAGAGCTAGGATTTCATAGCAAAGCATTATAGGTTCCTTCACCTTGTTTTCTGGCTTGTTTTGCTTCTCAGGGACCACCAGGGCCTCAAGGACCGACTGGGTTTCCTGGACCAAAAGGCCCCCCTGTAAGTACCTCTCTTTGTAGAGCATGCAAAGAAATACATCAAGTCTTTCCCATCCAGCTGTGCTGGGCTGTGCCAGCTCAGCTTCATGACGTACCCAATAAGAGGCATTACTGAGACATCAGGATAATAACCCCGCGCTTTAAGATTTTAAATAGCCGAGTAAATTGCGGCTGATTATAAATGTTCATTTCCTAATGACTCAATATCGCTGGGATCCTTCATGGTTGCTCTGTTCTGCATTTTCCCTGTGTTCGGGGGAACAGCACAACAGAGTAACACTTCTGTCTCTGCAACATTACACACTGGTGGGGACCTCAGAACCCTTTCTGGAGTGATTTCCTTCCCTGTGATGAGCATCTCGCTCCTGCTCTGGACCTCCAAGATAAAGCTCTGCTTTGGGAGCTGTGTGGGAAAGGGATGTATCTTCTAGGGTTCTGGTACCTCCATTTCACTCTAAAACAGATGGAAACTAATGCAAGGAGGTGAGCAGGTTTGATTCAGTCCTTACACACTTTGACTACTGAGCACTTAGTGATGTTCCTTCTCACGCTGGTTTTCTGCTGTAGGGTCCTCCTGGGAAGGATGGATTGCCTGGTCACCCCGGACAGAGAGGAGAGACCGTAAGTAGCCAAACCCTTCGGGCAGATCATTAGTCCTGAGTCTCGTCTTGCCGGCTGGTTTCTCTAAACCCTTCTGTGCAGCTGGGGAGATGGGGCCACACGTTTGGTTTCCCTGAAGGTCTGTGTCTCTCCAGCTGCATGGGGTGGTCTATGGGAAGCAACCCTCTTCTGAGCAGGACAGGTCGGTCTAATGATGGTTTATCTGGAGGCTGCGCACCAACTCCTCTCTGGTCCCTTCAGTAAATCATAGAGGTCAACACGTGCATCATGCATGGAGAAGTTGTGAGCAGAGATGTAGTGATGCTGGTGACCGGCATCAGCAGCAGTTGGGTTTCTGTCATCATAAGTGCAAGGGGCAGCTCCTCACAAGGTGCCAGATGTTGGCTGGGGTTGAGTCAGGGTCAGCACCAGCACGGGCCAGCACTGTGTGGCTCTTGTTTTCCTGAGGAGGAGAAGCTGGGAGTGGTTGATGAGCCCCATGTCCGGGCTTGGTACCCCAAGGACTTGCTGAAGCACTTGTCCCTTTGCTCTCCCAAGGGGGAGGCTGTGCTGATGCTCTTGGGAGTGCTATGGTGAAGTCTATGCCTTATTGCCCACTCTGTCCTTTGGAGATGGGGAGGTTTTACATCTCTATGCCAGAGACTTAACTCTAGGGCTGTGATAGCAGAGGTTTTTTAATGTGAGACAGGCTCCATCCTTCACAAGCTTTCTGAACCCAGCTGTGTTAGGTCAGGGGCAGTTTTGTTCTCTCTGGAACATTCAATGAGGAGAAATAAACACTTCTCATCTCTTGATGCACCATGTGGCCAACACCCAGAACTGTTGCAGAGGAGTTAACAGACCAGTTTTGGCCATGCTTGTGAGAGGAAGACAACTCCTGGCTGAGATGAGGGGTGCAAGGGTTTTGCTCTAGTTTTTTGGTCCACCCTGGTTCCTGCAGCCGCTGCCTCAGCACCTGAGTAAGAGCATCCCTGCTGACACTGCCTTTTAGCCAGAGCCTCACTGAGGTTTGCTAAGCCCCCCCAGCAATAACCCCTTGCTGTAGCCCTGGAGCAGCTCCTGGCTGCTCCTCGCGGTCATACCCATCCTGCTTTGTCCATTTTAAAAGGTTTTGTTGCACAGATGTAATCATTGTTTCTCACCAAGGGAGAACGATGAGGCATGTGGAAGGTATGATACCCTGGCTGTTGTGTGTCTGGTGGTCTGTCTCCTGCATCTTTTTTGGCTTGAAGGATACCCTGAGCAAAAATGACCCTTCTGCCCTGTCTCCTCTGCATGCAGGGATCAGCATCTTCCTGTTTGGTATTTCTGGGGATGTTTGCTTTTGTTCCCGGGCTGTTTACAGTCCAGCTCACTCCCAGTCTGGGGATGTCCCTCTCCCCAGCACTGCATGCTGCATGGTAGCACATAGACTCTTTGTTCTGTGTTTATTTTACAGGAGACCCCCCCCAGTTTCCTCTACTCAGCTTTGCCTTTTCCTCCAGAGCCTTTCTGAGCAAATGAGCATCCAAAAGGCTTTGCACATGATGCGGTTTTTCCCCTCAGCTTATCGCACAACAATTTAATTAACTTGCCTGGCATTTGCTAAGCAAGGCAATGCAAAGCCTGCTCAGCGCATCACCCGAGATGCAGTTACACTCCATAAGACCGACTTTAAGGCAGTGGTTGTGGTATTTTTGAACACAGAGCCCTCAGGTCAGGATTAACTTGAAAGTGAAGAGTTTTCGCCTGCCACAGCCTGACTGTGACATTTAGTCTTCCTTCCCTGAGTTATCCATGAGATCCAGGACGCCTACATTCCAATTGGAAGAAGCAGTAAAAACTTCCCTTATGTCTGCCGTTATCAGCTTTTGGGAATAGAGTATCAGCCCCCAAGGCTGCATGAATATGGATGGAGAATGAAGAATTCAATTATCTGGGGTCTGAAAGTGCTCCCTAGTAGCTTCCTTCAGTTATTGCTTGTCCATCACAGGCAAATCATTGGGAAAAACAAAACTTCTCTTCGTCTGCCATGATGCAGGGATCGCTGTCCCTGCATCCTCCTGGGCGCACACAGACATGCACATCCAGGCAGCCAAGTCCCCTTTTTCTGTCTCCCTTTTCTTTCACAGTGCATAAAACCAAATTAAATACCATTCCCACATCAGCGGCCTTGTCAGGGCACTGTGCCTTCATGCAGGGAAACCTAGACCTGAAATCTGTGTGTCAAATACTTCCCTTTATATTACTTTTCGGTTAGTATCGAATAGGCATGCTGAAGGATGCTGAAATATTTGGCCATATAAGATTATAAAGATTGGCTCAATGAAAACCCCCATGACAGATTCTAAAGACCCTGTGCCCAAGGCTCAAGCAGGATAAAAGGAAACCCCTTTCTTCAGATTCCTAGGGGAAGTCCTGCACGGTATTTGTCCGCGATAAGAGTCTAAATTGTACATTCATTTCACAAAGACGTTTTGCCAGTTCCCCATCAATGACAGAACACTTTCTGTGATGTGCAGACAGCTAGAATAACACAGAGAAGGTTTCTTAGCGTGATACATTACCATTGGCTTGGGATTTATCTGATCTTCTTTTGTGGCGATGAGAAAATAGCCTGTGTGCCCTAAATGCCATTTCTCAAGCTTGTCAGCATGCTAGAGTAGGAATGATAATTAATGTGCTTTTTAAAGAGTGGCTTAGGAGAGCTAAACAAGTGCTGTGGTGAGAGCTGGTTATTGTCACTCTTCAAATGTCACTGTGAGTACTGCAGGCTCTGCCACTCATCAGCCTTTGGAGAGAAGCGCATTGGCAGTTTCTCTCCAGAGATGGTGAAGGCAATGAAGATTCACCCACCCCAGGCTGGTGGGCCGGGGTATCAGGAGGTGGGCACCCAGCCTCTGAGCTCCTGCGAGCTCAGCCTAAAGCAGAGCTGAGCCTAAGCCAGCACCAGAACAGGAGCAGCAGGAGGGAAGTGGCTCAGCATGAAGAGACTCACCCTGGCTTGTGAATAGCAGTTTCCTGTGCAGGGTTTATGAACGCAGCATATATATGTATGGCCAGTCCTTCAGCCAAACCACAGTAGCTCCATCAAAACAACAGAGCTGAGCTTTGAGAATCCCTTCTCCTTCCTCTGTTTCCCCCCTGGGTACATGCACAAAGACAATTCTCCACCTTCTGTTGGATTTCTCGCTTTGTCTTCGGTGTCCCCCCCATTCCCCATGAGTGTCTCCCCAGAGGAGCAGTCGGGTGCAGCCTGGGACCTCGCTGGAGCACTCCTTGGCAGAGGTGTCATCTCTTTCTCTTTTACCTTTCTCTAACAGGGTTTCCAAGGCAAGACTGGCCCCCCAGGACCCCCTGGTGTCGTAGGCCCTCAGGTAAGAAACAAAGGCTCATGCTTGCTCCAGCTCATCTTCACTGGTTCGGCACAACAGGCTCCTGCAGCTCTGATGGTTCAGCTGGAGCTGCCGGAGCCTTGGGGTTTAGAGCACAGAGACCCCTCTCCCAGGGAAGGCAAAGTCACATCAAAGCACACTGGATGGCTTTGGAATTCGTGGCCAGGGTGTGAAATTACCCCAGAGGGTCCCAGCCCACCTTGTTCTGAGGCGTTAGGATGGTGTTTAGACAAACACGTGTAAATAAGGTGAACTTAATGAAGCTTTCCTGGTGTAATGTTGGTGTAGGATGAGAGAGAGACCAGCTACACACAACCAGTCTAAAAGACCTCAAGCAGCCAGAGAGGTAAATGAGATCTCCAAGGGCTGGACAGCTGCTGGGCGGTGTAAGCATGATGCAAGAGTGCTCTTACATGTCGCTATGAAGAAATGCATCTCTCTAATGTAAAGTGCTGCCACATTCTGTCCAAGTGGGGCTGGTTTGCTTTCAGTCACAAAGGACTCTGCAGTCTGGAATCAGTAACTGCACAACCAGCATTTGTACCCCTTAAGCACAGGGATGCAGGGCTCATGGACCAGTTCTGTAGGCAGTCCTAGGCTGAGAAGGACTGGCTTTGGGCTGGGTCTTCCCTGAGCTACAGGGGAAGCTGCTCTTTAATGAGAAAGTAATTAATTTGTCCTCTCTAATGACAGTGTAAAGCCCCTGATTTGTAAATTCCCTGATGAGGGGCAATTCCCTGCCGACTGTGTCTGTCTTCTCAAGTGCAAATTAGGTTCTATGGCAATTTTATTTGGCTCTGCTGCACGCAGTTAGTGTGATCTGTGGATGCCGAGCGATTGCAGTGTTATCACTCTGCTTACACTAAGTGGCACCCTGCAGCGTGACAGGAATTACAACCCTTGTCCCAGAGGATATCAGCATGCAGGGACGTTACAGAGTGGTGCATGTGGCTTTTGTCCTCCCCCACAACAGGTCACTTGGGGACCTCAGGCACTGGGCCTTATGTTACACTTGTCACCATTAGTGCCCGAGCGTAGCGCAGAGGCAGTCGGTAATTGCTGTGTAGTACAAGCCTAATCCATTATTTATGCCCCATAGAAGGAGGAATCAGTACAATTGTGGAGAGCTTGCTAAGTTCTCATTTATAAAACCCCAAAACCTAAGCATAACAGTTGTACTAATAATCTCATTTATGTGAACACTTTAATTCCAGAGGTTCCCAGTGCTGCTAGTCTGTCTGGTGCCATGTTACTCATTCTAAAACAAGGTCCTTTTAGGTGCCAAAGGAGGCATCTCTCCAGGGATTCCTGGTGGCACTGCAGAGGAGCACTAAGGGAAGGAGCATTTTCCATCCCACTGCAACCTGGAGGACTAAATTGATAGCCTACATCTCTTCCTTCGTGGGATGTTCTGCTGATGCCAACCACCTTCTCCTTAATCTCTGTTTCTGCAGGGTCCAACTGGTGAGACTGGACCAATGGGTGAGCGGGGACACCCAGGTCCTCCAGGTCCCCCAGGTGAACAAGGTCTTCCTGGCCTCACTGGAAAAGAAGGGACCAAGGTAGGGATGAGCATCCTATGGAATTCACCCTCTTTACAAGCTGGATGCCTGCCTGTCTCCCAGAGATGGGGAGGGATGATTCGGATAAGAAATGAGGATGATGCTTCACAGCGTCTCATCACAACCTGAGCCCAGAGAGAGGAGCCTGCAGGTCCTCAGCTCTCTATCACTGTCATTGCAGGGGGACCCTGGTCCTGCTGGCCTCCCAGGGAAGGACGGTCCCCCCGGCTTGCGAGGCTTCCCTGGGGAGAGAGGCCTCCCTGGCCCCATTGTGAGTAGAGGATGCTGGGTCCTTCCAGAAGGAAAGCTGCCTGGGAGTGCAGCACCCACCACCCAGAGTGACTTTGTTTTCCTTCCTCCAGGGTGCTCCAGGCTTGAAAGGCAGCGAAGGTCCCCCAGGCCCCCCCGGCCCAGCAGTGAGTATCCTTGCCCTTACAGGCACCACTAACACATTTACAAGCTTGGCAAGTAGAAACAGAGGGTTAGTCACAGCTCGGAGCTTTCGCCGTTATTTCCCTTGTGCTAACCAACAACTTGCTGGATATTGCTGTGTGTTACAAGACACGTATGTAATAGCTCAGCCATCCCATGGCATCAGCTGTGAACATACGTGACAAGCTGAGGGAGCAGCGGCGATTCAGGACATGGAGAATTTTGCCTCTAAGTCACCTCTGCAAGTTGTCCCCACTTAAGAGTCATGCTCAGTGCAGCCCTCCTACAAGAAAATACTCATCATCCAACCCTCCCTGCTGCACTGGCCATGAAGCTGCTCATGCTCTTGTTCCAAGGTGATAATGAGCCCCCAGGAACTGAGCTCCTGGCACCATCCAGGGGAGAGCCCAGCCCTTCCAGCGATTTTAGTTAATAAAAGTTCTGCAAGATCCCTTAGGCTGATGGTACCACGACACCATCAAATGTGCTCACCTCCTGACAATGCATTTGCAGCATCGGACTGCTGGATTTCTTTCTGTCTGTGTATAGGTGAAGCTCAGTACTCCAGTTAATGCTTCCTTTCTTCCTTCTCTGAACAGGGCTCTCCTGGTGAGCGTGGTCCCGCAGGATCAGCTGGCCCGATTGGCTTACCAGGGCGACCTGGTCCCCAGGGACCGCCAGGACCTGCAGGTGAAAAGGGAGCTCCAGTAAGTACCAGTATAAAGATAAACAGCTGTGGGTCAGACAGAAATGTGTACGGCAGGAAGCTGAGCATGGAGAGTCCTTGGGGTTGGTGTATAAAAAAAGGAGGAGTTTGATTAGAAGGGAATTTTCTCATCTTGGGTGCATCAACCCACTGGATGTCAGCTGCTCAGCTGCCCTGTTTGTGGCACCTGTGCTATCAAAACTGGCTGTGACCCCAGGAACTGGGATATCTCCAGGCAATGAAAAGGGATGAGGACTGAGCAGGTGAAGTGACAGCTCTGTGACTTCCTAGTGACAAACAGCCCAGGGACCTGCCTCCGGGCAGAGCAGTGAGCCAAGCCCCCCACTGCTTTCAGGGATGCAATGGCAGCAGCAGTTCCCATTGAACCCAAAGCCATCCTGATCCCCGTTCTGCCCCGGTTGAGGGGCAGCACAGGGAGGTGCTGTGGAGGTTTCAGCTCCGTTTCCTGGGCTGCTGGGTTCTCATTCCCAGGCATCCCGCCTGTGGGCAGAGCCGCTCGTGCAGAGCCTGCCTGAGCCCTGCCATATGGTCCCTCTCCGGAGCGTTCACCATCAGCCCGCGCAAGCTCGCACGTCTTCCGCTTCCAGGCTCGCGCGTGAGATGCCACGTGCGGCAGGAGGGGGTGGGCTGGGACGAGCCTTCTGTCCCTGGAGAGCACAGCACCGGACCCCAGCTCACACCCAAGGGGCTCTGCAGGGACTGCTGTGATGCCTCAGACATGAGCTCAGCTTTCAGAGCCAGCGAAAGGAGCAGACACTGGCATCAGGTGCTCCAGACTACATGAGGACACTTGCAGTGATTGTTGTCATCTAAAGTGTTTATCAGCCACTGTATCTCGTATTTGCTTATTATAAACCCCAGCAGCTAGTCCAGAGGCAAGAATTTCCTGGTGAATCAGCTCTCTGAACATCTGTCCTGCCAAGTACCTATGTGATGTATCAGTGCACAGATGAATGGGCAATTTGTGTGGCATCTAATTATTCAGAAGAGAGCACCCAGGATTCAGATGCAATTAAATTATGTATGAGGAAACCAAAAAATATTCACTCTTCAGTTGGTATAAAACAAACAAATGTGGTTGAAGGCTCAGGCTGAGGAGCACGAGTAGATGTCCAAGCAGAAACCCCCATTAGCTGGGGTTCAGCCAAGGAGGGAGTAGGCAGGGAGTGCTGGGGCCAGAATCAGTAAAAACTGGCTTGTGAGAACATAAATTACTTGGGGTCTTGTTTGTCATCCAGAGAGAGATGCAGAGGCTTGAGATTAAATCTGGGTATATTGCTCTGGCGGTGAAATTGCAGCTCTGATCTGGGTATTCACCATTTAGATATGTTTGTTCTTTCTTTATCTCTCAAGATGGATATTTTGTCTTGTTGCAGACAGCGAGCACAGAGGCTGATGAAATATCAGTGAAAAACCAGTTCTGCTATGTCCATGCAGTCAGGGGTCACTAGCAGCTGAATAAAACATCGATGGGATGGGTTGGTTGGAGGAGAGCTCTGTGTGACCTGCTGCTTGTTCTGCTTCCAGGGCGAGAAGGGTCCCCAGGGGCCGGCTGGCCGGGATGGCATCCAGGGCCCAGTGGGACTGCCGGGTCCAGCAGGTCCTGTCGGCCCCCCCGGCGAGGATGGAGACAAGGTGGGAGGAGCAGCTCCTGCTGCCAGGGTCGCTCTGGGAAGGACCTGGGTGATGTGCCCCATTGCCCCCATGCTGCCTCCATCAGTGGGTTGGGTGTGCTGCTGGCCATCACCCAAAGGGTATCTCTTGATGATGGGCAGAAACCCATCACCCCCCCAAAGCCTGGAGGGGGCACCCTGCCCACAGGTGCCTGGCCTTTCCCAGTTAATTACCTTCCCTCACTCACTAATTAAGCCCCTCCAGTGTGGAGGACTCTGGGATGAATCACCCATCACTGCTGACAAGGGCTGCAACACGGTGGTTCTCGCATTGTGTGGCAGCTGCAGAACATTTTAGGGTACACCACGAGTGTCCAAATCTCTGGCTTCTTTTAGAACATTCTGGGGTATTGGCGTGGGGTCTCTGGGATGAGGGATGCGGACAAACAGCTTGAATGCTGGGATATGGAAGTGGTCACTGGGTGAGCTAACTGTGTCCCTTTGTACCCGGCAGGGCGAGATCGGGGAGCCCGGGCAGAAGGGCAGCAAGGGCGACAAGGGGGAGCAGGTGAGTGGGGTGGATGCTGCCAAAGCTGCTTCCCTGGAGGAGCGTGGCTCTGGTGTGGGACCTGCTGGAAACAGAAAATACCGATTTCATTCCTTTCTGTCATCGCTTTGTCTTCTCCTTTGCTTCATCAAATACCCACACGATGGAAAAAAGAGGGAGGACCTGAGGTGTGAGCCTGCAGCTCCCAGGAACACACTGAGGTGTTCCCGTGTCCCCCTGTACTGTGTAAATACCATGAGCAGCTCCTGCCATTCAAGTCAGGAGTGGGGCTGTACCCCCTTTTCTGGTTGTCTCCAGCACTCTCAGGCACCCTTTATGCACTGCTCTGAGCCAGGGGATGATAAATGACACTTTAAGTATCTAGATAGAGCTGAGTGGTGTGATAGTGTTTTGCTGGAGAAAAAACACATTTAGATGTGTCTGCCGTGCCACTGGCACCAGGGCTGGGGAATGCTGGTGTGTCTGGGGAGACCTGGCTCTGTTCCCTCCCTCTGTTTTGGGAATTAATGCACATTAAATGGAGGTTGTCCTGAAGGGCATCGCCTTTCCCAGGTGAGGTCTTTTTACTCTGAGCTCCCAATGCTGATGTTGCTCTTCTGTTTCATGACAGGGTCCACCGGGGCCCACTGGCCCACAGGGTCCGATCGGTCAGCCCGGCCCCGCTGTGAGTATTGTCCCGTTAGCAGAAATCCCCTTTCTAACTATGAAATCCCCTGGGAAGCACTGCAGGGATTGGCAGTGCCTGCCTGATGCTGGTGATGCGAGGGGCATTACCACTGGCAGCAGAAGGAGGCGGTGGGGATGGGGCTTTGCATCTGTCTCATGTCCTTGCTAAGCTGTGCTAGACCCTTTCCTCTTAGGGTGCTGATGGAGAGCCAGGTCCCAGAGGGCAGCAAGGCCTCTTTGGTCAGAAAGGTGATGAAGGACCCCGAGGTTTCCCTGGTCCCCCTGGCCCGGTGGGCTTGCAGGTAAATTGCAGCATCAAGGGTGATGAGAGCTGGGGCTCCACCTGAGATGTTCACAGCTCAACCTCATCCCCTCCACAGGGCTTGCCTGGACCACCTGGCGAGAAGGGAGAAACGGGTGATGTTGGGCAGATGGTGAGATGCTTTTGTACTTCTCTGCTTGTCACTGGCACAGACGTTGCTCCAAGAAATGTGTCTTAAATCTGTCTCCCCTTTCTCTCTCAGGGCCCACCAGGCCCACCTGGACCCAGAGGTCCCTCGGGACCACCAGGAGCAGATGGTCCACAGGGTCCTCCTGGGGGAATAGGAAATCCTGGTGCAGTAGGAGAGAAGGTAAAAAAGCATCCAGGGGAGCCTGAGTGCGGCTTTGCTGGGTCAGTAACCTCAGGTTTGCTCATCCTCTTTTCCCCTCTGCAGGGTGAGCCTGGTGAATCTGGTGAGCCTGGTCTTCCCGGCGAGGTTGGCCTCCCGGTAAGGACACTACAGGGCGGCTCTTGCTCTGATGGAGAAGAGCTTTTCTTCACGGGTGGCCCTCTGAAGAGCTGGTTAAGGGGTGTAGGAGAGGCCTGGATTCGGCTGCAGGGGCTGAACCAGTCCTGTTCTCGGTCTGGGTATTGGGTGACACATCACCATGTTCCTGGGTATTTATAGTGTAACGTTTAGTCACCGAACATGGGCTACCCACGGCTGAACATCATGAACACCATTCAGCCTTCGTGGGAAGGGACTGCTAAATCATGTTCTCGTGCTCTGAGATACAAATAAAGCTTCTTTCTCAGAATTGATCCAAAGAGGAGTTAGGGATCGGTAACTTGGTTTCCTGGAAAATAGAAACACCCTTTTTCCTTTACAGGGTCCTAAAGGTGAAAGAGGTGAAAAAGGGGAAGCAGGTCCCTCTGGTGCTGCTGGTCCACCTGGCCCCAAAGGTCCCCCAGGCGATGATGGTCCCAAAGGCAGCCCTGTAAGTACCCCTCCTGCCCAAGCAGTGCTCCCTTGTCTTGCCCAGCAGAGATTTCTGCATGAAAAGGTGTTTTCCAGAGATCTTTGTGGATATCTGAGACAGTTGACCAGCCACAGAATTGCTCCTCCAATGATACATGATACTGATCCCCTTCTTTAGGGTGCTAGTGAGGAGAAGACCCAGCTGTACCTCGTCTTCCAGCAGCACTTAGAATCATAGAATCATAGAATGGTTAGGGTTGGAAAGGACCTTAAGATCATCCAGTTCCAACCCCCCAGCCATGAGCAGGGACACCTCACACTAAACCATATCACCCAAGGCCTTGTCCAACCTGGCCTTGAACACTGCCAGGGATGGAGCATTCACAGCCTCCCTGGGCACCCATTCCAGTGCCTCACCACCCTCACAAGAAAGAATTTCCTCCTTATATCCAATCTAAACTTCCCCTGTTTCAGTTTTAACCCATTGCCCCTTGTCCTGTCACTTGAATGATTGGTTCTTTTTGCAGGCTGTCATAAAGCTCACCCCTATGGTGAGCCTGCAGTAGATTCACTTTGCGCTTGAGCTTATGCATTTCCAAGGCCCACTGCACCAGAACGAAGCTTCTGAAACAGTGTGGAGGAGATTTATGTGAATTTGGGAGTTGTGCGTGTAAGGCAGATCCCTGTTGATGCTGATTGCTGTAGCTCTAGTGAAGCCAGTAGAGCTATACTGATTTATACCAGATGACAATGGTACAGTATTTATCATGCCAGCTTCTTTGATGCTTGCCTGCTGAAGAAATGTCTGCTGTGATAAGCAGAGGAGGCAGGAAAGTCAATCATCACTCTCAACAGATGGGCTTTGGGGACATCACATTACTGCCTGAAGCCTATTGTCTGAACACTGGTCTCGGGGTCGTTTGAAGTAAACAGTAGACATTGCATGGAGAAGAATGGTGAAGTGTTTTAGTCATTAAATGCCTCGAGGGGATCTTCCTGTGATCATGCAGAGACCAGCATCATGTAGTAAGCAAAAAGCAAGATGATCTCACCTGCACATTCCCCAAAGCTGCAAGGATTTTGCTGTCATTTGTCCAATGTATTTATGCAAGACCAAATGAAGCTCCGAGTGTTGCCTTGGCTTTGCCTGATGCAGAGCTCAGCTGGTGGCTGGGACAAGATGAAGTCACTGAAGGTGCAAAGATGGGATGTGTTGGAGGGTGGAGAACTGGGGCTTTGCTCCATAGGGTGACTCCCTGTGTTGTCACTGGGGTCACAGGCACTAGTGCTCCACAGTGCTCCAGATGCAAGCTCTGACTTGGGGATATCCCTCTTCTCTCTCCGCAGGGTCCGGTTGGTTTCCCTGGTGACCCCGGTCCTCCTGGAGAGCCTGGTCCAGCTGTAAGTGTCCATCTCACAGAAGGGCAGTTAGGGTCCTCCTCTTGCTTTAGTAAAATACACCAGTGTGCTGTTCATTCACCATTCTGGAATTTACTCTTCCCTTTACTTGGGAAAGAGTAAGGAGTTGCACCATAAGACTCTTCGTCTGACCATGCTACAACCTTTGGGGTAGCAGCTGTGTGAGTGCTGCTACCCACAGTATTTGACATAGGACATTTGCTGTTACCAGTGTTCCCAGCAAGAGATGGGAAGGGATGGTGGTGGTGACGTGAAGACCACTGAACGCTCCTGCTGCTGCTAATGCTTTCCTCAGCTGTATTATGAATACATCTGCTTGTTTCTTTCTTCTACCCTTTTAGGGTCAAGATGGTCCTCCTGGTGACAAAGGTGATGACGGAGAACCTGGACAGACCGTGAGTAACCGGATAGATGAGCTCTGTTGCCCATCACTCCCCATGGTTCCTGTACACAGGTCCAAGGGCATACAGCATCCAATTCCCACCAGCTTCTGCTGCGCTGGTCCCCTGGTGCCTGTCCCTCCCGCCTGTGTCAGCCCAGGTGCTGCATCCCCCCAGGCTGCTCAGCAGTGCATCCCCAAAGCAAACATTAACTTATGGGAAAACAAAACTCTTTCATTTAAACTTTGCCGTGCCTTATGGTATTTCCTGGTGGGAATGGATAAAACAAGAAACCACCTGCATCCCGAGGAGGTGTTGGGAGCTGTGCTGCCCACGCCTCGGCTCAGCACACACTCCAGAGCTCAACTCGAGCTTTGCACATTTGCTCCTCCTTCCCATGTCTCGTGGTGCAGTTATGGCTTGTTCTGCTTCCTTCTCCATCTAGGGTTCCCCTGGTCCCACAGGAGAGCCGGGCCCCTCCGGACCCCCAGGAAAAAGGGTAAGCTGATGGTTTAGGGGTGTTCTTCCAAGTGTATTGGTATTGAATTTGTGAAACTAATGTTAGTAGTAGGTCTGCAGTGGATGCAAAGCAATAGCATGTGAAATAAAAAATAATTAAAAAGAATACCATGATGCACCATCCCAGACATTGGGAATTGCTGGGAAATTGTCAACCACATCCCCTGGATTACTGAGGTTTTAACACCCAAAAGAACACACAAGGATGAGGTGCTCCTGCTCTTCCTGCCTCGCTGCAGAGCCCAGGGATACATTTAGCAAGCAGCTAATTTAAAAAGCTTTTCAGAGATATTTGTCTCCATTTTGCCTTCTTCCCTGGGGCTGTAGCATCATTTTGCTAATTCCAATGGCCCATTTCAGATCTGTGGGATCTAACTGTGATTTGTTGTGCTTTCTCTAGGGCCCTCCTGGTCCAGCTGGTCCTGAAGGAAGGCAAGGAGAGAAAGGAGCCAAGGTAAGAGCTGGATGGGGGTTCACTTCTGCTGCCCTTTGTATGTCAAAGGGCCCTCCCTCTGACAGTGCTGACGTTTGAAAGACAGTGATTTGGTTTCCCTACGTGTTACAACAAATTAGCCTGAGCTGGGGGCTGTTGGCCTTCAATCTAAGCTTATGTTTCATCTTTTCACAAACTCCATGGAGATAATTAGGGCTTGCTGAGGTCATGGGGATGTTTTAATTGTTTTGAAATTACAAAGTGCTGTATTTGGCAATTCAATGTGTTGTAAATGCGGGCACAGCCCTATGTTGTTTCCCAGGGCAGAAACAGCGCTACTGGACCAGGATTGTTTTGGTAGGGAGGTGGAGAGTGGGATGGCAAATTATAGGCCCAGTTGTTGTGGCAGCTGTGGGAGCACTGGTGGCAGAGCATGTCCTCTGCTAGATCATATCCTAGGACCAGGCACAGGACAGCTCGGAGAGCTCGCAGTGTCTGAGGCTGTTCCTGCTGGAACTGGTGGGGAGCAGCAGGAAAATGAACGTGTTGGAAACTTCACACACTTTTACAGGGACCACTGTTCACCCTGTGACATCCTGGCAGCAGCCACAGTGCATTCAGGATTGCTTGATGCCCCCCTGCAAATTAAACCCTGCTGCCTCTTGCATCTAGGGTGAAGCTGGTTTGGAAGGACCTCCGGGCAAGACTGGCCCAATTGGTCCCCAGGGTGCTCCAGGGAAGCCCGGCCCTGATGGTCTTCGAGGGATTCCTGGTCCAGTTGTGAGTACTCCCAAACTGAGCAGAGCCTGAGAAAGCCGCTGGGCAGGGTTGTTCCTGGTGCTTACCATAACCTGTCTGCTTGGAAGATGCCTTTCTCCCAGTGCGATGCTTCAATGCCTGACAGCAGATAAAACACATTTAGTGGACATAATGCAACACTGAATATCACCTCCCACCATGTTTTATTTGAGACTTGAGTCTGCTCACCCCCTCCCCATGGGTGATCCCTCTCCAAAGTCCCTTTTCCAGTAGGGATCTGAGCATGAAAAGAGCATAAATCATTTTGCCTTTCCCACCTGTGAGAAGGGAGGGCAAATGTTCCCTGGCACAGGGGCCACACGAGGGAAGGTGAATAATGGGAACAATCCCAGCTGGGAGCATTGGGTAATTGTTTTGAGGGGATTGCACTGTTTTACAGGGTGAACAAGGTCTCCCGGGATCCCCTGGCCCAGATGGTCCTCCAGGCCCAATGGTATGTCCAGACCATCAAATTCTATGTGGTTTTGACATGGGTGAATGCGTTTTACATGAACTCATTCTCTCTTTTGTTTTCCCCCCTGTCTCTCAAAGGGCCCACCGGGTTTGCCTGGTCTTAAAGGAGACTCTGGTCCTAAAGGAGAGAAGGTGAGAATAACACACATCCGATCTCACTGCATGACCTGGTGCTCATGTCTGCCATTGTAGAGGCGTCCTGCAGGTGGCAAACTCCTATACCCTTGCTTAGATATTTGGGATGTATCTAGCAATGTCTTTGCTGGATGGCTTTGGCATTCGGGTGCCTCAAGTGAGAGGCCATTATTAACATTTGCTGCTTTCCCCTAGGGTCATCCAGGTTTAATCGGGCTCATTGGACCACCAGGAGAGCAGGGAGAAAAGGGTGACAGAGGTCTCCCAGGCCCCCAGGGCTCAGCAGGACCCAAAGGAGAGCAGGTAAGTATTCCATAAGACCTTAATGGAATGTGCTTCTGAGCTGTGGGGTTTGCTGCTTTAAGCAGGTATGGCATAGCAGAGATGCTCGGCCTTGAAGAATATTTTCTATATTAATGTGGTTTATTCTACATGCGAGATGGACATGCTCCAAAATCACCCGATTTAGTGGGAAGCAGGTCCTCAAGGGTCATCTGAAAAGAGCTGAATAGACTTGGAGGGATGGTTCCATTAAATATGCATCCAGAGGACAGGTTTTTACAACTGTGTGCCAAATGAGGTAGGAGATTCCCTGGGTGTGCACATGCTTAAAAACCAGTTAAACCCCCAGATTTGAATAGAGTCCTCCATTCAGCTCCATTCAGGCCTCCATTCAGTCCTCATCAGCTGTGAGCAGATGTCAGTTGTGTAGTTAGATGCCAGCAGTGGTGCATACACATCAATGCTTTTCTGCTTTTATTTCGCAGGGTATCACAGGTCCTTCCGGACCGATCGGACCTCCAGGGCCACCAGGATTACCGGTAGGTGACAAGCAATTGCCTTTGAATGCCTCAGGGGCTACACAGTCTTTGTGGAGTCACCTTCGTGCTCCTGGATACACCCAGCAGAGCCTTTCTGGCCTGACCTTGTGTGAAGAAGTTGATGGGGATGGGTTTGCCCAGCTGAGCCTGTTAAAAACACTTGACTGGGTTATGGAAGTACTGGGGGTGATGGGTAAGCCGAGAGATGAGCTCAGTGGGCATGGCAGGATGGAAGACCCTGTTTTTGGGGGTTAGCTACGATCACATGGTGATTTCTTGCCCTTTTTGCTCTTGGTACGTTTTTCACTGGATGCCCAAAGGCTGCACCTTGGGTAAGCAGCGTTTGCTGGGTGCCCTCAGCACAGAGCCAGGACCAGCCCTGGGCTGTGTAATGACCCAGCAGCTTTCCCAGCCCCCATCCAGGCAGGAGTGGAGCAGTGACACAGATGGATCTGACACAAATGCGTTTTGCATGTTGGCAAATAACACTGAACTCCAGTGGATGGGAAAAGTGGGAAAAGAAATGAATTTAAAAACACCACCTTGTCTCTAAGGGGAGTCTGCTGCCTTCTCTGCTAGAGCTGTACTGACTCTGCTCTGGTTTCCTCCACACAGGGTCCACCTGGTCCCAAAGGTGCTAAAGGATCATCGGTGAGTATGGACATTGTTAAATGAAGAAGGCGAGGAGCAGTTATCAAGTGTATAACCCACTGCAGCTCCTCCCTGTCAGTGGCATTAAGGCAACTGGCCAAAGACGGCCTTAGCAAGGGCAGCCTTTCCAGGAACGGTACGTGGGGAAGGTTTCTGTTGCGCTCACTGCACTGCAGCAGAGATCCCCAGGAGGATTCCAGTGCACAGACCTGGGGAGAAAGCCTCCTGCTGTAAGGCGGCGGGTATTAAAAATAGCCGGCGGAGCGGGAGGTGGCGAGCTGGAAAGTGCAGAACGCAGCGCGCATGAGAATGTGGCAGTGAGGCAAGATTCATGTTACAGATCTCCCATGCAGCAGCTAAAAATTCCTCTTGGGCAGCTTCCTAATCCTCCTTCCCATGCAGAATTCAACGTTCAGTTAATGTTTAGGTTTTATTTGATTTATAAACCCTTGGGGTGGTTTGGAGAGTTCACGCTGCCGTGCACTGGAACAGCCTCCCTTTTCCATAGGAAGCCTCAGCAAAGTCTGACTGTTTAACCCCAATCTTCTCTTTTCCTTAAGCATCTTCAGAGGGAGATGCAAGGAGACCCCCTTATGTGCATAGAGGGCACAGAAAGAAGGGACAGGAAGACAGATTTTGCCACAAGAGACTGTTAGAAGAAATAATGTTTGGGATGTGCTGGAAGTGACAAGTGCTTTTCCCTGTGTGACTCCTGGTTTTCCCTTGTTTTTCCTCCCAGGGTCCAACAGGTCCAAAGGGTGAATCGGGTCTTCCTGGGCCCCCAGGGCCTCCTGTAAGTAGAACCCATTACATGAAGCATGAAATGAGGCTCACATTTAATGGGAGTTGTAATATCAGGGGCTAGAGGATTTCTGGTCAGAGATTCAGCATATCAGGAGTCCCTGCAATGCATTGACAGCTCTTAGAGGAGCTGGGGAAGAAAGCAGGATGTGAAGGGAGAAGTTACTAATGGGTAAAGGGAAGATGAATCCAGTGTTCAAGTTTAGTGGCCAGGGTTTTTATCAGTGTCATCACGGGTGTTTTATGTGTTATGTGTGTGTCTTGTGATGCTGCTTCTCAGGCTGGTGGCTGCTTTGGCCACCTCTTCTGCCTCTTCCCCACTGGCAGTGCAATGAGCAGTTGTATCTCCTTCCCCCACAAATCAGGGTCCTCCTGGAGAAGTCATCCAGCCACTGCCCATCCAGGCTTCCAAGAGGACCAGGCGGAACATTGACGCCAGCCAGCTGGTGGACGATGGGAATGCCGACAACTACATGGACTACGCAGACGGCATGGAGGAAATCTTCGGTTCCCTGAATTCCTTGAAACTGGAAATCGAGCAGATGAAGCATCCACTGGGCACTCAGCATAACCCAGCACGAACCTGCAAGGATCTGCAGCTCTGTCACCCGGATTTCCCAGATGGTGGGTCCCAGGACAGGGGGGATGAGGGGAAAACACCGTGAGTTTCCCAGCTCCATGCAGTGAATACAGGCGAGTGCAGGAAGAGAAGGAATATAGGGGGTCCCTGGCCCTGGTGCCTCATGAGGGATGTGGCTGACAAAGAAGGAATGCATAGAGAAGAGCTGAGTTAGGTGATCGTTGCAGGTTCCTTCCTATATATATACTGTTATAAGAATGGGGATATATGGTCAAAATCAGCTATTCCTGTAAGGTACCACAGTGTGATGTAGAGTCAGATCATAACCTGGTTTCCAAAAAATACATAGAAACAGTGGCCTATGCCAGAGATGAGACATTCCTGATAAGGTGGCTGCTGAATTGTCCTTCCTTCACAGTGCTGATTCTTTCTTCCCTTCTCTTCCCTCTCGTGCATCCAGGTGAATACTGGGTCGATCCCAACCAAGGATGTTCCAGGGACTCTTTCAAAGTGTACTGTAATTTCACAGCTGGTGGAGAGACTTGCATCTTCCCTGATAAGAAATCTGAAGGAGTAAGTCCATATAACTTCCCCCCTCCCATCGCATGGTGATAAGAGATTGTTTCCTAATATGAATATTCATAGACAGTCCATTTCAGGAGAACTGAACAATAGCAAGTAAGGATTAAAGATCCAGAACATTCCTTTGTTATGCAGCGTTGGTGTCTAAAATAAGGAATATGTTTATAAGATAATTTCTTCGAGTAAGTCAGACTTGAACTGTGATTTGGGACAAGTCTTTGATGATTTCCCAGGCATAATAAATGCTAACACCTTTTTACTTTGCTTTAGAAAGGCAGAAGCGTGTGTTGGTGCAGGAACTGTGAGCTTCATTTAACTCCTTCCCTCCTGCAGCCAGGCTGCTCTCTGCATGCACAGGCACCGCTGATTCCGCTGCCCTTGCTGTGTCTTGAGGCAGAGCAGATAAACGTTTCTCTCCTGTCATTTTTCCTAGTGTTCCTTATGGGCAAACAATCCTCAATGGTTGCAACTGGCCTCTGCGCTCTTCTTGGCACCGATGCACAGAGCCTGATTGCATCCTTTGTGTAATGATGTGCTTAGCTCAGCCATACCCTGTGCCCTGTGCTGTTTCCTAGAGCGGCTTTCCCTAGAGCCTGGGGACCAGCTCTCACAGTGGCCAAGCAGAAACTCCTGCAAAGCAGCCTGGGGAGCCCCCTGGGTGCCTCAGCTGTGCTGGGTTAAGGTGCAGACAAAGCTGTTCACTGAAAGCCGTTTGCTTCCTGAGCTTCATCCACCAGCAATACGGGCCAGAGCAGGACAAGTACCACGCAACATAAATCTTCCTTGGGTTTTTGTTAGGGTTGGTTAAGCAGGAGATGGATTTCCTCTCCTTTGCACTAACTTGCCATGGCTTTCCTCTAAATCTTGACAGCTAAAACAGCCTGCCCTGATCTTGGGGTTGAACAGGCTCCTGTGAGTGGCTCTTTGGCCTCACCACGTCCACTGTGGAGTTGCTTTTCTGAGCACTGCGATGCTCCTCAAATACAAATTGTGCTCCACTTCTGCAATATATTGTAAATAAGGAAAAGCTTCAGCCTGCTCTTTTCCCACGTAGAGGAATGAAACCAGCTACCCCAGCAGCATTAAGTATTGGCTGAGTGATTTTATTATAAGCCACAGCAGACCTTAAGCCATACCCCCTTTCCCTCCATCCTTAACCCAGCAGAAACACACTGACTTGCTTTATGGCTCACGTACTGGCAAGGAAAGGATGATCCCAAGACACCTGTATGTAGCTTGGCCATTGTTTTTGGAGGGATTTACAGCAGCAGTGCAGGAGCTTGTTGGAGGGTCAGGGAGCAGGGAGCAGCCACGTTCCTCCCTCGTGCTCTGACCCAAAAAGCCATTCAGCTGATTAGATGCGGCTGCCATAAAGGATGCTCCAACAGCTCATTTCTTGTCAAGGTCACCCCCTGCATTGCTCCAGGTAGCTGGACCTTCCCTAGTGATGGTCCAGCACTGACTGGGAAGGATGCACTGTGCATGCTGCTCCCTATTGCTACACAAGTGCCAGAGGCAGGCAGAAGCTTTTCCTTAATCACATTCTTTGCCTTTCCCAGCCCCACAGCATCTGGATTTGGTGTTAGAGTGACAGCAGCCTTCCCCATTATCAGCACTGCTTTTCCACCCCAGCCCTCCCATGGAGATCCTTTACCACTGATACTTCATTTTTTCCCTCCCTGTCTTTCCTTTTATCTCTCCTGCCAACAGACTGCACTGCTGGTTCTGCATCCAAAGTATGTAGGAGGCAGACATCATTAGCCCTTAGCCAAGGAGGCTCATGCCAGGGCACTGCTGGGCAGCACCATGCAGTCCCTTCTGCGTGAGGGGTTGCTGGCACCTTAGGGCGCTGCCAATTGCTCTTGTTAGTGGTGTAGAAAGGTTAAGAAAGCAGTGTAAAGGAAGCTGGACAGTCTCTATAAGCCGTGCACACTCTGCTTGGGGAACTGAATGGAACTTTTTAATTGATTTTTCTTTTCTTCTTTCTCTCTCTCCTCCTTTGCCGTCCACAAACTAGGCTAGAATTACTTCCTGGCCAAAGGAAAACCCAGGCTCCTGGTTCAGTGAATTCAAGCGCGGTAAACTGGTAAGATGCATCTTGGTGCTTTCTGTTTTCTTTAACCCCTGTCATATTTTACAGAGTAAAATGGCTCGTTGGCCCAAAGAGCAGCCTTCCACATGGTATAGTCAATACAAGCGGGGGTCTTTGGTAAGTGGCTAACCTTGGCCCTAGTCTGAATCAGAGCACCTCATCTGCTTTGGCATGGCCAGACCTGTTGCACTCTGCATGCCGGACTAATCCCTATCCCACGTTGCAGTACAGATGTTTAAGGTGGAATACTGAAAAAGAAATAAAACCCAATGGGGATGCTTTTCCCGTTGGCTTGACTAGAAGCCCAGGAGCAGGGCACAGTGCTATCCTCACCCAGGGTGAGGTGTGAATCTATACGTCTCTGCTCTAGGGCACGGTTTCCCTAAGGGTGGGTTTTGTCTCTTGTGCTGGAGCTGAGCCCCATCAGGAGCTCCCACACCACCCCCAGAGCGTGGAGACTTGAAGTCATTGCTTTAAAGGACTTAAAAGGTTTAAAGGATTTCAAGCCACGTGCATTGGCCAAGCCTGGTGGACAGGAGTGTGACATAGTCCCAGCTAAGGACTTTCTCAAGTCCTGTCCTAAGGTCAGAAGATGTTTGATGTCAGCCAGCAAGGCAGCAACACGTAGAACAGAGAAAAAGCTCTGGTGTTTTGTCCTGTAACAGGACATCCGTGCTGTGGATAGATCACTCCTACAGAACCTCAGCCCTGCTCAGGGAGGTCAGAGCAGTGGCTTGTGAGTGTACGTCAGGTCTCCTTAAGCCGTGGCTCTGTGGGTATCAACTGTGTGATACTGTGTGGGTATCAGCTCCTGTAGGATGAGCAGGATGCAGATAATGAGCCCGGTCAAATGAGAGCTAGTTAAAAAGGAAATAGAGTGGCTAAACCTGCCCTGCCCTAGAAGCAGGAGCTGCTCTGTTGAGCTGCACTGATCTGCTCCTACAGGACAGAGGTTTCTTGCAGTGCCCAAGCTTCCACCTTAAAGGCAAACAACAAAGCAAACCACCACGTTGTTTTCCTAAGCCGCATTTCGTTGCCACTAAACACGTTTTGCTCTGGTTCTGCCCACAAGAAGGATATGGCTTCTGCAGCTTCTCTGCACTACTGAACGAGGCCACAAAGCCAAGGCTGCAGCCTCGTAGCTCCTTGGAGGGCAGCTACTCATAGCTTAATTACAGAGCAGTCCATCAGTTCATATTACGAGTAGCTCCATTTCTCCATCTTCTCTGCTTTTTTTCCCTGTTCAGTCTGTTTATCAGCCAAGTTAGAGGCTGAATTGCCAACCTAGACCTTAGGGCCCTTTAGTTTGTTAAATAGGAATTTCAGCGCTACTTGGAACCCTTTGTTCCATCTTTCTGTGTTGCCATTTTCTTCCTTTTTTTTACCTGTCCTGCCTTTTCTCTTTGGGAAGAAAAAAACCACCAGCATGTGGAAGATCTGCCTAAGCAAACCTGACCTGCCTAGACAACCCAGACCTGCCTAAGCAAACCAGACCTGCCTAAGGCAACCACAAAACACCTGAGCCAGAAAAGTGCAGTTTGAGTATTTACTCTGATTTCAAACACCTCTCATCTCCCCAGTCAGTCCTTGGAACCATGAGGTTTGTGAACTGGGGAGACATTTGCCTGTAACCAGCATCAGTTGAAATCTGTGTGTAGCTGGTGAGCTGAATGAGTTTGAGTCCCCCCTGGGTGCTGCGTTGCCCATGGTGCTCCACCGAGAAGGTCGCTGGTGTCTTTCCATGCAGCCTGAGCACGGTCTCCTGGGGGGCTGAGCCCCCCAGGGATCCCTGATGCTGTGGGGAAGGTTTCCACCCGGCTGCTCAGCACTGAGGGGAGCGTAGATGGCTCCGTGTGAATCTCAGCTCTTGCATGAGGTGTGCTCACCTTTCTTCTGGGATAGCTGAAGGACGAAGGGCGTAGGAAATGAAACACAAAGAAAACATCTTGTTTTGATGCTTCTGCACCGTCATTAATCAATGACACAGAGTTCTTGGATCTGATTTCTTACTGTTTCGCACGATGCAGCCAAACTGCATTAAAGGGATAAAAGGGATGCAGATGTGGGGTTTTTTCTGGACTCTGCTTTCCTCCCCTGTGTGTTAGACACAATTCCCAGTGGCTCTGGCAGGGCCTGCCACCCCTCCCATCCTGTTATCCTTCACAGCCATATGGCATCTGCCACAGGGAAATGCTATCACAGACAAAACAGAAAGGGACTGATTTCTGCAAACCTGTGTTCCCATGGGCCAGCCTTATGCAGGCAGCCGGTTCCCAGTGGCTCCAGTCACAAAGGTGGGACAGGGCTTTGAGCAGTCTCCAGAGGCAGAGCAGGAACTGAGACCCCTCAACAAGTCGTCAGTCTGCCAGACTAAGCCCTGGTTGAAACAAGAGCAGTAGGTCCTGCAGACAAGTAATGCCACGCGTCTTTGGGTGCGTGCCGTGCACTTGACATCTTGTGCCCCATCCTTCCACGTCCTGGTGGTTTTCTGTTAGCTCTCCCCTGGCATGCGCGGCTCTCTCATGGTCAGTCATGTTTCACTCTCAGGAGGACAGTGCAACGGTATCCTGACAACCGGTTGGTATATCTGGTTATTTATGTTACCTTTTAATTCATTGTTTTATTGCCTGGTTATGAATCTCTCCTACTGTTTGCAGCTCGCACAACAAGTCGATGTTTCGTGGTACCTTGAAGAACACCACGCTGTCTGTGTGCCTGTATTTTTCTCCTGGTTGATTCTAAAGACACCCACTGTCCATAGAGGACAGTAGCGAGCAGCAGCTCTGGTAGCGTGTTGATGCCCAGGAAGGATGAATGGGAAATACCTCTGTACCCACAACAGCCAGAAAATAGTGTCACATAGAACAGACAAAGCCCCAGACCTTACAGAAATCTGCCCTATCTCCTCTTCAAAAGCTGGAGTATGCTCACTATTGGCTTAAGCCTGAGATATGTATCCCCAGATTTGCACTCTCTTGCAACCAGAGCTGAAATCCCTCTTCATTTTTCCTCCTGCCATGAATTAACCTGATTTTTTTAGCTCACAACCAGACTACATCCAGCAAACAAAATAAACTGCCCCTCAGTAGCCATGTCCTGCAGCCCTGTGTCTGTGGCACGGTGGGAGCAGGGTCTGCACCTCAGCGAGGTGGTGAGATCAAGCCCCATGCACAGGATAATAAAAATGGGTGAGACTGGTGCTCCTCAGGGCCCCCAGACTTGTTTTGTTGCCCCTCACTGCCCAGTGTTTCCCCTTCTCCACTTCCCATAGCTCTCCTACGTGGATTCAGACGGGAACCCCATTGGCGTGGTGCAGATGACCTTCCTCCGGCTCCTGAGTGCCTCAGCCCACCAGAACATCACTTACAACTGCTACCAGTCCGTAGCCTGGCACGACGCCACCACCAACAGCTATGACAAGGCCATCCGCTTCCTGGGCTCCAATGACGAGGAGATGTCCTACGACAACAACCCCTACATCCGAGCCGCCCTGGATGGCTGTGCGGTACGTGGGCAGTGCTGGGCACTGTGGGGGGCGTCCGTCCCCTCCCCTGATTGTCCAGCACCTTTTGACTCAGTGCAAACACCTCTCCATTTCCTGGGTCTGTTGATGCAGTTGCCTGGAGGGTTGTCCCCGGCATGAGAGACATTGAGCTTGTTCTTCCCTAATGCTGGGAATACGTGGTTCTGCTCGAGGCCAGGGGAATCATAGAATAGTTCGGGTTGGAAAGGACCTTAACATCATCTGGTTCCAACCCCCCCGCCATGGGCAGGGACACCTGACACTAAACCGTGTCACCCAAGGCCTCATCCAACCTGGCCTTGAACAGGGAAGGAGCTGCAGCACCTTTAGGAATCGGACTGATTTGCTTTATTGCTGGCTGTGCATAAAGGGACCTGCCTAAAACCACAGGTTGCTTTTGAAAGACCCCTTGCCTTTGCTCTCCCCCTGTTCGCTCACAAAGAGAGAGGCAAGCAATGAGTTTCCAAAGGGGCCCAGCATCCTCCCTTTGCCTCTGCTTCCTGTTGGGTGGTTGGATGCTTGATTTGGGATTGAGCTGTGCAAAATCTACCCTCAGGAGCTGAAAATCTGGCAAAGCAGGTGCTGCTGGTGTTTATTTTGAGCCCCAGCGTGCTGGTGCAGAGGCACGTGGAATTCTCACCCTCTGGAACTGCAGCACTTGAAGCCCACGGGACAGAAAGATTGAGATGTTTGACAGAAAAAGCCCTCCACAGAATGTGAGATTAAAGTGGTTCTGTTGTGGCACATTCATGTGTTTTACTGTAGGAGCAGTGAGGAAAATCAGATTTGAATTACTTCTTTTAACACTCTGGCAGAGAGGGAAAGAGCATCCATCCATCCATCCATCCATCCATCCATCCATCCATCCATCCATCCATCCCACTATCCCACTTCGGAAGCCATGTTGGGGAGTTTATCCTCAAGTACTTAATATCTCTTGCTAACACAATATGTCCCCACTGGAAAGTGCCTTTCCTCTCCCTTTCCCTTCTTAAGTGTCAGGGACGTTGCAGGATCACATGTTGCATGTTTTAAGGCAGAAGTGTTGGCTGAAAACCCTTTTGGTTTAAGTGATTTGACTCAGGTGCCTGGCATTCATCTCTTAATGAGGGATATTTGCATGGAAAGATGACTGGGGGTCCTTTGAGTTTATTTGCTTGGTTGCCTCTCCCAGGCATCTTCTCTCTGCAAGAGATGTTCCTGGGGGCTGTGGAAAGGAGGTAAAAGATGACTAAGAAGCTTATTGCAGCCTTGCAGAAAGAGGCTCTGCATCTCCTGTACCATCTCTGGTACCCTGGTAGATCATCATTCCTGAACCACAGGCAAGATACTTTAGATTGAGCCCCACCATGTGGAAAATGAAGCTAGGCTGCCTGGCACGGTGTTGCCACAGGAGTCCTGACAGGACCACGCTAAAGGCTGTTGTTCAGGCTGTTATTTGAATGTGTTATCACATCTCATTCTGTGATACAGCCTATTCTTCTGAGGCACACAAATCAGAGGGTATGGTAGAGCCTAAAGCTGCTCCATATCAATTTGTTTGTGCAGCTCTGTATGCCCTCAGGGGCACTTCTGCTCCTCTAATAATTATTTGTATTTCGGAACTAAGTGTATGGCTAGCAGGCACGCTAAAAAGACACCATCACCTTGTGAATTCCATCCGACTGTAAATGGGATCTTTCCGGTAGCACTCGGATAATAGTCAAACTAATATATTCAAATTAAATCGCTTCTATTTGCTCAACAACCCATGCGTGTCCTCAGGGAGGCAAAACAGCTATAGCACAACCAGGCTCCTGTTCCAGCTGTGAGATGTGCTGACAGCAGAGTTAGTGTCTTTTGATGTGCATGGCAGCAGCTTTGGCTCCAGCATCTGGGCTCAGGACAGTGGGACCATTGTCAGTGGTCACCATCCTGCTTGAGAACCTCTCTGCTAAATCTGCAGGGCAAATGTGTGGTTGGGTGCTGGGTGCCTCAAATTCCGCTCAGAAATGGCTGGGTAAGATCATCACCACATTCCCAGCTCGCCTGGTGAATGCTTATCCATGCAAACTTGCAGGTATTGGGTTGGAGGCATCACCAGAGCTCCTCTCTCTCCCTTTTCTCCCTTATCAGGCAAAGAAGGGCTATCAGAAGACTATCCTGGAAATCAACACGCCCAAAGTAGAGCAAGTGCCTATAGTCGACATCATGTTCAATGACTTCGGAGAAGCATCGCAGAAATTTGGATTCGAGGTGGGACCGGCTTGCTTCATGGGCTAAGAGCCACCTGAAAACTAGTCTCCAAATGAGCAACCTCGTAACCTCATTGCGCCATTTAATTAATTAAAAACAAGAAAAAAAAGAGAAAAAAAGAATTCCTCGTCACATGCACGTTCTGAAACTGGACAGCGATGGGTTATTTTATATCCCCGTTCCGTTTTGTTCCTCGTCCTGCCCTGGTTCCTCCGAGCCCCGCGAGGACCCAGCCCACCACAGACACAGAATCTCATGACCGACCGCCGCACGCGTGGCCCGGGGACCTGGCTGTGATCTGCGCCCACCGCTGCTGCTCCATGGCCACCGAGCAGGCCCCACTGCCAGCAAAGGATGCTGCTGCTTCTGCTGCTTCATCGTCTTCTTGCCACAAAGCAATACCAAGCACTTGCCTGTAGATCATTGAGGAAAAGCTGGAAACTCCAGTGTTCAACCTGACGTGGAAATCCCAGCAGTCCCGGCTGCAAACCAAACCTGCCAAAGCTCATTGGAGGCTTTTTGTTGACTTCCACCACATTGGGATCAGCTCTAACAAGTAGATGTCATGGCTACTTCCAGAAGGTTTAATATCTCCCTTGAATCACGTAATCCCATCTTTTACAAAATGACACCCCATGAATTTGATAGGGAAAAGTCGTACTGGGCATCTCTCTCCCATGTATTAAAGGTGCTTATATTTTTGTATGTTTGTAAGTAAATATTTGTATTGTATATTATTTTAAATGCTGAAATGTTTCTGGCTTCAAAACATGCATGTGACCCTGTCCAGATTGAACCCGGCTCCCTTCCCACCACTGCCCAGCCAAGCATCAACTCTGGGGACGAGGACAGCAGCTCCTGCCTCTTCCCAACCCCAGCCCTGGATCTGGAGGGTCTTTGAGTTGTGCCCAGGCATGAGCCTTGGCAGGATGAGGGCCCATGGGGTGGCAATTCCATGTTGTAGAATGATTCCCTTCAACATAAGGAAATTAAAGCCACATTTTAACAAGGTCTCTACAAAAACCCTGATGTAAAAGTAGGATCTGCTTTGAGTCTCTGCTTTTTTATCCACCTGCTTACCTTCACATCCATGTTTTAAATTAATTCTTCCTTTTTTCCTGCAACATTCTTTTAAAGTAATAATGATTTAAAATCCCCCTCCATTCTCAGTGGCAGATTGCAGTGGCAAGGGAAAACCCATTGGTCCTCTCTGAATATAAAGTGTAAAGAAAAGGAAACAAAAAGGTGCTTTTTATTTTTACATGTCTCTGTGGTGCTATCTATTTGAATGACTTTAATACAACACTGGTGATACCCTGCCATTGGCCAATCTCCCACCAGCTTTTGCTTTTTAGCTGCTTTCAACGCAGACTGGAGGCTTTTGCTACAGTCTTTGATTATAAATGCATGTCCCCTCTGTACTTGTTACGTAGAAGACCCACTCATTGCTTAGTACGGTCCATGTACAAAAAGTATTAAGTGTTCACATCTTTTTTTCCTCCTTTCTCCCCAAGAATATCGCTGCCTCTCAGGCGGTGGGAGCCACACCAGATTGTACCCACTCGCTGCATGTTTGTGGTGCTAATTTATGCAGTTGTTGGCTGTCCTGACGCGATGCTGAAGCCGGGTGGGATGCCGCCCGCCGCGCTCCCGGAGTCTGCAGTTCTCTTGGTCTTCCCACGGTGGCAATGCCAGGATGGGGTTTTGCTTTTCCCATGCAGCGTTTTCGGCTCTCAACCTGGTGACACCATCTCCTGTCTCCATGTGTTTGTCCGTGTGTCTTCCCCCTGCCCGTTTTCCTCGGTTAGATCTCTCAGCTGGAAAATAGGTGTTGCAGGGTGCTTTTTTAATTACTTGGCCTGGAGTATTCCAGCAGCACTTGAGCCAAAGGGGAGCTTTCACCGTAAAGGGAAAGACATCACATTTACTGTGAAGAAAAGCCTATATCTGATGTCTTCTCCCCCCTCCTTCCCAAGCAGAGAGCAGCGGTAGCCAAGGAAGGGAGGCAGAGCCGTGCTGGAGGCAGCAGCGATGCCGCACGGTGCTTGTCGGTCTGGGAGAGCCATGTCCATCCCTCTCCCTTCTCCTGCTCTGTTCTCTCGTGTTCTTTTATCACTTGGGGGACAAAAAATACACAAGGTGCTACCCTAAACCCTGCAGACTCCGGCAGCACAGCAGTGAAGAGGAGAATATAGTAGTAATATATAGGAGAATTCAGCTTCTCAAGTCACCTTGGCAACAGCCTTGTTCAGGAGCAGTGGGAAGGTCAGGAAAGGTTGCACGTTCCTCTCTGCAACAGAAAAGCCATATCTTGATGTATGTACACACGTGTGCGCCTGCCCAGGTCATGTGATTCTGTTACAAATTTTCATCAAAGGAGCTTTTTTCTTTTTATTTTTTCTTTTTATTTCATTGCTTTAAGAAAAGAAAAAAAAATAATTCCTGTCGAATTCCACAGTGTTGTAATTGTCCTGAGCTCCGAACTGTTCCGATCCCCCAGACCACTTAGCTACGGTATATTGCAATAAAATTACTACTTGTATTTGCAGACCTTCTTTTTGTGTAATTTTATTTCCCTCCTCCCTTAATATATATTGACTTGAACAAATGTTGATAAGAAAAATAAAGCCTATGGAAAAAACAAATTCTAGTACATAAGGCCCTTTTTAAACAATAGTGTTGAATGGCATATTGTACATTTCTCCAAAGTCCAATAAACATGTCATAAAATTTAAGTGTAATGCCCATAGGAGCTATTTTTAAATATTTTAAACCTGTGTAATAAAGGAATAAATGTAATAGATGTTTTTTCAATAAATCAAGTTTACTGTTTCCACCGAACCCAACCCGATGTGAATGTCTTCTTGAAGTTGGTTGCAGCGGGATCTCCCCACGACCCCTCTGCTCAGTGGAGCCTGACGAGTTCATCAGAGGAGCAGTGACGGTGCCTAAAGGTAACGTATATACTGCAAGATACTAAACCCAACCCACCAGAGAGAGAATTTCCAAGCCTGGAATCTTTTCTTTCCCCTCAGTGAGAAACTCCAATCAACTCAGTGCAAAACTCCAACCTGGGGATTTCAGTGGGACCCAGACGAGAAAATCAAGTGGCCACCAGCTCTCCGCCTTCTCCACGAGCACCTGAGGAGCCTTTGCTTGGTCCTGCAGCGTTTGCTCCAGATGATCTTCTCACCCCAAGATGAACTCGGGACACAAACCCTTTCTCCAGCTTCCCAGTGAGCTCCTCCACCCCCAGACTCATGCCCTGGCCCCAGAGCACTGCTGCGTGGATGTGCTGGGGGAAGCAAAACAAGGGACACTCTTCCCATCCTTTCCTTGCCTCCAGTGGGTTTCACTCCATGAAAGACATGCAAGAAGATGATGGCTTCTCTGGAAACCGCCATAAAAAGTCTACATCATCAAACTCACCATCAGCCGCTGCTACTGGATTTGGATCGCTCTGGTTCTCATGGGCTTCTTGCAAAGAGCATTTGGTTGCTGCTACTGGTTTGCAGGTTCAGCAAGATGCTTGGGCCTTAGGAACATGTCCTTATTTGCAACCGTGCAGGTGCGTACAGTGCACACACACATGCACAAACCCACCCTGTACAGAAAGCTTTGCAATGACACAGATGTGCTGTGTGTGCCATCAAACTCTCCCCTTTATTCTTCAGCTGCAGTTAGTGGTAAAACTCATCTAAGTGGACCCCTGAAATGCAGAGGTACCACAGCTACAGGAAGAAACGGGGGGGGGGGGGATAACTTCAATTGCTTAGACTTGGCTAGAAAGATTTAACTTAGATCCTGGTAATGCTTCAAGGTGACACTAAGCTCATCATGCTGACTTGTCAGTTGTGATTTGCACTCAGTCACTGCTGGTTGCAGCAAAGACTTTAGCAAATGCCTCAAAGTCTAGCTGCTGAAAGGAGCTTTGATCTGTCATTAGGAAAAAGCAGAGATTTAAGAAAGAATGTGACTGGGGTTGGCGCTGCCAGACTCAGAAGCTGGGGTATATTTTTCACCCCTTTTCATATAACAAAGTCAGTGATTTGGTGCTGGAGCTGCAGTGCAGGAGCTCTGTTGGGTGAAACGTGGAGGGTTATTTTGGGGAGATGCACACAGAAAGCACCCAAGAGAGCTCAGTGTTGGGGTAAGAGTGGGGCTGCTCAACCCAAACTCGCACACCCTGGGCAGCAGCTGCCTCCTGTGCTGGTTTCTCTAGCGCAGAGTCTTGGCGAGGCTGGGAATGCTGCTTTGCCATGTACTGAGAGCATGAAGCTTGAAGAGTTTTCCCACCCAGTTACCTGAGCTGACCTGGGCTTAAGAACGTGTGCATTTGCTCCCCGGCTGGTTCCTAAGGTATAACATGAGTGGCTGCTTGAGTGCTCCCTGCCTGTAAATGGGAATTGTCCTTTAGGTGATGCTTTAGCCCTGTTCTGGAGGAAGGGGCTGGGTCCTCCTACTGCTGCGTGTCTGTTGGCTCCCTGTCTTTTCTCTTTGAGTCCCTTGGCTTTGCTGCAGCTGGTGGAGCACCAGCTGGCCCTAAAGCCCTGTCAGGACCCACAGCCGGGGTTGGGGGTGCTGCACACCAGTGGGGCACAGCTTAGCCATGTAAGTGCTGCTGATCTGATTCGTGCCATGCAGGGACACACTGTGATCACACCATTTGCTCTCTGCAAGACAGGACGGCGTTGGCTGGGATGCACCCTGCTCTGTTGCTGTCTCTCAAAGTGATGCTCCTCCCAGCTCCTTAAATAGGTGTTTACATGAGACTGGTAAAAAAAGGTAAGGGTTAAACAAGAAGTGTTGGCTCTGGTTAAATTTAGAGATGAGATCCTGGGCGTCTCTCCCCTATGGTCTGGGTGACTTCGGGCAAACAAGGCAGAAGGAAAACGTAATGGGTGTTTTACACAAAATATTTGGTTTCTTTAGTGGAACTAAAGCTCTCCTGGGGAGCAAGAAACAGCAAGATAAAGTGGGAGGCTGTAATAAGAAGGGGAGAGGAATATGCATGAAGAGAATGTGTAAAGCGTTGGGTAGGGGGAGGCTTTTGCAGCATACGAGCCAAGCTAGAGCTGTTTTCATTCTTCAGCTGCTTTTTGTCCAGCATCTCCCCAGCCAAGCCTGGATTGACTTGGTTTTTATTAATGTCTCAATCAAAAGGCTAGAACTGACCTGACCCACCGCTCTGGGAAAAAACCCAGCTCCCCGTGACTGTCAGTGAGAAAGAACAAGCGAGCTGGAGATGCCTCCTGGCACTTCACCACCACCTGAAAATTGAGCTGCAGTCTCCAGCCGAAGCTCATAGAGCACCAGTCACACGTATCCCCTCTCTCTTCACACCCTGCACAGGAGCGGTGCCACTGCACATTCACTGCTTTGCTTTCCTGCAGCCGGGCACCCACCAGGCAGACAGCTCCCAGGGCTTGGGGTATTTGTTTAACATGGCCCATCCAAGCAGGTCAGAGCATCCCGTCCGCTGCCGGGCTGCAGGGAAGGCAGGGCAGGATGTGGCCCTGCTGAACCTGAGCTCGTCTGCCTCAGCCACCTCTCCTCCACATCCCTGCTCTGCCGTGCTGCACAGTGCAAGAGCAGCAGGTGGGAAGCCATGGTTTAGCATAAATACCCATAAATTATCGTGTCACAGCAGTGAGGGCTTCTGCTGCTTCTTTCCGTTCTCTTTTCTTTCCATGTGTTTTCCTTACTTTAAAGCAAGAGCAGCCTTTGAAGCCAGCCTGGGCTGATGCTCTCAGTATCTAGAGCTGCTCTCCTGCCGTTCCACAATGGCCCAAAACCGCAGAGCTGGAATGCTCTTCAAGGCATTTGGCTTAATCCAAGCTCTGATTTCAACCAGGAGGCACTGCTGATGCTGGAGAGTGCAGAAGTGCAGCTTCAATAGCTCAAACACAACCCTTGAATACCAGTGCTGGCGTTCGGTGCTTGCAGCTGAGTCCCGGGTTGTGCAGTAACTCCGTAGTGCTTCCCCTGGGGCTGGGCTCCGTCTGCTCTCCAGAGGAGCAGGATCCTGTGCCACTGGGGATTGTCTGCAGCATCACCAGTGCCAAGCTGTGGTCCACCAGGATCATCCTGCAAAAGCACCAAGGAGCAATCCTTTGGATTGTTACAGCCATGGAAATTATTCTTATCTCATCCCTCCCTCAGCACTGGTCCCTGGCCTCACCAAGGAGAGCTTCAACCAGCATCTTTTCTGGGCACAAAACCAACCTGCTGGATCTGGTGGTCTCACTGGGTTTTCCCCCAGTCACAGAACTGAAACCTGAGTTTGCTTTTTATCTCCAAACCAGGGGCAGTGTTGATGTGCTATCATTTCATTATAGCACCTATTGCCTCTTCAGTTATTCTTTGTAACTTCTCTGGCTGCAGGTTTTTCCCGTCCTGGAGCACCATGGCAGCAAAGCGATTTTCTCCTGAGGCACAAACTCAATAGTTCAGGCAGACCCTGCATGTTTCTACCTTCACAGCAAACAAAACTTAGCAATTTATGCTTGTATTTAATGGGCTTTCTCAAATAGCCCAGAGCAAAAATAAACGCCCCAAAGACATCAAACACATGAAAACCCTGAAGAAGAAGCTGTTTTTCTCCTTCGGAGAGAATCCAACACACTTGTTTTGGGAGAGATGCATAACTAAGAGAGCTCTGAAGCGCTAAAATTACATCTTGTAAGGCGCAGGCTGTCACGCTCAGGGGCACCCCTGGAATCACTGCTCGACACAGCTGAACACAGAGAGCAAATGTGCCATCCCCGGGCCCTGCGCTGAGACTTCCTGTTCTCATCCTGCCTAATTATTTATATGTTAATTTGACAACGAGATGTTCTTTGTAGAGCGTTTTCTGCACCGCTCTTGGCTTTTTTCAGATGCTCTTCAGCAAATTCCCCTGTTTCCTCCATATCCTCGGCTCAGGCAGGGCAAAGCCGTGGGGGACCCTTCCCTGAGCACCGCAGAGGTAACCACATTGGGTGAGCGTGGTGCTGGTGCTGACCGCCAGCCTGAGCTCGGGGACAGCCCCTGGTGTGGCCAAGCCACCATCCCAGCTCTGCAAAAGGCAAGTGCTGCCCTGCAGCCCATGGTTGGGGATGGCTGCGGTTGGGCATCATCTCCTGGGGACCCCAAGGGAAAAGATGCTCTGACTGTGCCATTATAGGTGGAAAAACTTGCCCTGGGCAGTGAGCGGGGACCTGGACTTGGCTATGGGGCCCCTCTGCCATGGGTGCCATGTACACATGGTGATGATTTGGGCTCAGTGCTAATTCCCACCCAAACGTCCTCTGGGGGCTCCCAGACAGGAGCCTGGCTTGGGGCAGTGCTGGTGGGACTCAGCCTGGAGCTGCTCCTCGCTGCTACCGGCCGATGCTGAGCTGCAGGAGACAGCAGGAGCAGCCACCAGAAAGCAAATCGTCCTTCTTTCAGGTTTTCCTTTCAAGAGGCTGATCAGAGCCCCTGTTCTGAAACGGAAATCAAAAAGCTGCCAGACTTGAAGCATTAATTAAGATACACAACAGGGAGAGAGGGGGAGAGGGAAGGAGG